AATGGTCATATTGTAAATATTTTTATATAATATATAGTCGGGGATAGTACAAATCCGCGTAACTACATTGAACGAATATTATCAGAAGAAAGTTTGAGCTGAAATATTTTCTAAATTAACGACTTTTAAGGTAATTTAGAAAATATGTAGTTTCAAAAGACATATTGACTTTGACATTAAACAGTGAAAATAAATAACATACCCTCCCTTCTTTGATTTTTCCGCTTAGCTAAAAATGTGAAAAATCTTATAATTTTTTATATATTAATTGATGTAAGACAATCAAAATTTCCTCTTTAATAACAATTCTGATATCGAAAATACCTAAATAAAAGGTATTAATAATGCGATCTCTTGAAATTCTTATATATTTATTTCGTTTATATTTTTTAAGCAAAGTAATATTTGAGTTTTGCAGTTAAGACCAATGTTGCCATTTACTAATAATGTACTTCAAATTAGGGATAAAAATCTTTAGTAAGTTATAAGGCGAAATATATTTCTTTACACTATCAAACAAAGATATCCAAAATCTGAATACATATTTCATACCCTTTCTTTGCTGTCTTCGTCCGTGAAATATCTATCAACCTGAAAATACATATAACAGTAAACTACATATAATCAGTTTGAAATGTCAGAACGCATACATTAAATATTTTTAAAGAATCAATTTGTCCTATCGAAGTTCCTTATTGAAATCTCAGTCCCATTCTCGTATTTTAGTCAAAATGAAAGTATGGGGAAGGTATTTATAAAGATTTTATCCCCATCTTTTTTTTTGATGTCGCAAGGAAACTCTTTTTACGAGCCGTCCAACCAGCCTTGGTGGGGCCGAAAGGGATGTGTGAGGCTCGGCCTGGGCAGGCCCCTACTCACTAAAACCACTGCGAAAGCCATCGGCCTCTATGCCGGTGTACCCCGGATCTGTCAGCGACAGGGCACACCAGCGACTGGCCGGTCCTGGCAAAGACCAGACTTGCTCCCTCGGAGAATGGAGGCGATCCCGGCAATTAGGACCACCCCGACGACGCCGGGCTTTCATTAGGGCCGGGTTACCAAGCTGACCCATTGGAGGCGTTGGAATTGCCTCCGTCGCACCCCCGTACGTCCCCTGCGGAGGGAGGGAGCATCAGCCGCCCTCTCCCTTTCTTGCTCAGATGCCTCCTCCGTGGACATGACCGTCTCACAGAAGGAGGACACCGCTAAACATCCCCATCTTCACGCTTATCACTCTCAGCCACCATACAATACTAAACTTTTCCAATCTATATTTTAACCCATTTTCTAATAATTACTGTTCGAGTAATCTCATTACTAACTCACAAGATATAAATATCCAAAGATGGGTTCGACGATAGCAAGATAAACATTAATTTAAATTTACAATGTCAAAATGTTTTTAAATTAAAATTTCAAGAAGTATGGAATACTTATATGATATAAAAAAGAAAGAAATACAATTCAGTTCAGCAATACCAATAATTTTAAATACGTACATATGTATGTAGCTTTAAAATAAAAATTTTGTACAATACTTTTATATCTGATATGCTGCTTTTTAAAATATAAAGTACTTCATACATTTTTGTTTCTAAATATATGTTTATATTTGAAATAAAACTAATAGTTTTAGGATTTACTAAGAGTTTATCTTTGTTTATTTCCGGCCAACAAAAAAAAAATTAAATTGTGCTATAAATTTATTTCATTTAATTAATTGACACAAATTTTAATTTGGCTATTCGCAGTATTGTTTTTCCTAAAATATCTCGTGTGCGTCAAATCTTTAACACTTAACAAGTCAGTATTATGTTACAGTACCTACTTATTCCGTCTTACCGCTCGCTTAGTGTAGGAGATGGAATAAGAATAATATACAATAAAACCTCATTTATTAGAGACCAATTTGATCTGCTCGTCCAATAACTTTTAGAAGGAAAAAATTTGAAATCCTGTACTAAAATAAAAGATTTTATCTCTGGATTTAAAAGGATGAGAGTCACCGACATAGCTACATGGATTAGCTCTTTGAAGTGACAATGGGCAATGGGCAAGGCAAGGCAATGGAAAGCGCAACGTCGGACGTCCATCAACGAGATACACGGACGACCTAGTCAAGGCCGCGGGTTCAAGGTGGATGCAGGCCACCTCCGACCGTAGTACTTGGCTGTTGATGGGGGAGGATTATGTCCAGCAGTGGACCTCACGTGGCTGAAGATAGATAGATAGATCTCTGGATTTAAGATAGCTCTTAGAAATGGACCTTAACGACTTTTTAGTCTTTACAGGTGTTAGCTATGTCCTATGAAGATGTAACTGAGTCATAGTTTTTTGTGAAAAGGTCGCCAAAAAGTCCTATACCAAGATACCATTCTTGGGAAGGTTGTTTAGCTAATGAAATCTAAGACTTTTCTGAATATTCATATATATGAAACTAATAGTTTCGGTTTACTACGTGTAAGTTTATTATTTTTAAAAGCTACATACTTCGACGTTTCGATTACATTCACATCTCGTCTGCCCGAGATGACGGTTGTTGCAAAATAACGGGAGTCGGGAGTATGTACTTAAAATAATAAAATAAGGTTTTGTGATTCGAGAATATTAGTTTCATTTGAAGGTAGTCAAGCTCGTAAAGAATATTCAATAACCTGAAGAGGTCCTTTCATCTGTTCTTGACGAGAAACGAGGTTTTGGATTTCATCAGAATGGAAGACTGGCCGTCATTCAGTCCTCATCTTAATAGAGTAAGACTTGCTCTAATCTGATTAATATTGAAAAATTTTACTCATAGGAAAAGCGCGTGCTGCTATTGATAAACAGACTCAATAAAAGCATTCTTTTGCATCCAATGGAGACCAAACCGATTAGCTTTTTATATTTATAATAGTCTTATATTAATAAATTGACACACCATATTAGTAAAAAATGTTTCGTATAATAATTTTTTCTTTGTAACAATATTTACAGGAAGACTAAGTAATTACTAATTATCAAATCCTAAAAATACATAATTTTTAATTTTTTTATTCCGTATTCTATGGAAGTAAAACTACTTTAACTTATATACATACATTCATTTAAAAATATCAAAGTTTATTTTTCTTGTTACGTACGCGCTACATATGAAGAAAAAAAATGTACATGGCCGGGCGACATCTTTGTATTGGTAAAATATCGTATAATGAGTGAGGCCGCTGACTCCGCGGAACCAACACCAAGCCGTATGAACCAGAAGATTACACATACCACACAAGCAATAGAATCAAGAATGCCATTGTCATTCTAACATCGGGGGAGTCATGTAGTCTTAGGTATAGGTTATGACTTATAAGTTTTAACATGTAATTCTTATTTTAATATACATATAAGTGTGTTTCGTAGTTGTCCTGGAACTTCCGGTTGCCACCCTACGTAATTTTCTACAAAATAATAATAATAAAATAAATATTGAAAAAATTAAATTTTTCAAATAACTTGCCTCATCCGTGTCATCTCTACGCTCTGCAGCAACCTAAAAAAAGAAACAATACATCTTTCATTTTATTATTATAGCTAACATTGAACACATCAATAATGTTTAATGAACATATTATAAAATTACATACAATTTTATTCATATTTGCCAATATTTTAAAACCTAGTCCTAACTTAATATAATCTGTCGCATTTTTGTTGTAGAATATTATGACAAGGCCTTTTGATAGTGACAGATCAATTTTACAAACGTCTTTCGATTGAAATGATGCATTTACTTATTTTCCAATATTACGATTAAAATACCAATAGATCATTTTATAATTATATATTTATTCATATTACATAATCATATAAGAAATATATTTACCTCGCAATAGAAATTACATAACAAACTTAAAGCTACGCTTATAATAAACTTCATTGTATAAAAAAGAAACAAAGTCACAAACGGTAGATTACAATACTTTACGGCTTTAGAAGTAATCTTTTAATTAATATTTTATTGCTTTCAATTTAAAAGCATACTATGAATGGTTCGTTTTTATGTAGAAGCCAATGTATTCTTCCAGGTTTTTATATAATGATTTGTATTTTGAAATAATCTACCACATTATAAATATTAAAATACTTAAGATGTCAAATATTTTAAAGTGGAAAGAGATTTTAAGGTCGAGCTGTTAAAAAACATAACCATATGTAGTTTTTTAAGGATGTTCCACATAACTACGAATGTTAATTTTAAATTATAAAGATTGTAAAAATTTGATTGATAGTTGTGTATTTTTTGTTAATTATATATACAGATGAGAGACGAGATGTTAAATGCTCGTGACCATGATCACAGTTGCTGTAAAGTGTAAAGTAACCAAAACTTCGGGAGTATTTAATTTAAAATAAAGAAACTTAAACGCGTAGTAAATCCCAAAATATTAGTTTTATTTCAATTAATACTCTCGAGAGGTTTATCTTATTAAGTCTTAATTTTTATGCATTTATGTAACTCCAGTTAGGAGGTTTAAATTTTTTATATAAAGAGTAATTAAAGTTATCGCTAAAAGAAATACAGATATGTATTTTAGTTGCGGCAACTTTATTTCTTCACTACGATCAACAATGCCTATGGTAAAGAAGTTTAAATGTATACTACATTTTAAAGTTACAGTGTACAATAGGTTGAAGCTAAAAAAAACTTTGACTGTAAAATGTGTTTTAAATAATTAAAAATATATTTTGTTATAAATAAATAATCTAAAATAATTTTCAAGCTAATTGTATTATAATACTTTTTTTATTAAAAGAAATGTGGCAAGGAATTTCTATAATTATTGCAACTTTAAATTACATGGCAACACTTTTGCATTATTTTGACAGAATGTAGAAGTCAGCTGAACGTTGAACAATGCATTTTTATTTATAACATTCTGTTACATATAAAATGTATGATCTTCATAAACGCACTCAAGTTTGATGTTTCATTTTAAGACACCTTTGTATAGTGTTGTGAACGTGTAGTTGAAATGTTTGGAAGACCTAGATGCAGAGAATGGACGCCTTTAACCACCCAGCAATTAAGATTACGTAGTTTAATACAGGTATAACAACATTAGCAATGATTAAGTATATTCATTACTCGTTACTTATAAAGTTAATGATTACTAACAAACACCTACACACTATTATGACGTACGTCATCCCCGCATTTAGCACGCTTGAATTTGCTTTGTAATAATTTTTTAATGATATTTTTAATAACTTTCACTGTCAATAATAAAGTTAATGAAAATTGTATAAAGATCTTGAAAGCTGATTATATTGATATTAACAAATGTATATTTGTACTGTTGACAACATAAACAATAAATAAATACTAAAATGAATTCTGATTATAATAATTTATATAAAGAATTCTGAATTTTATTTGTAAGTGAAGTGACATAAAGTTCTTATTGTATTCTTACTAGTATATTGTATTTACTATCTATTTATCTATTGTATATGAAGTGTTTAAATATTAAATCACTATAGTTAAATAGAAGTTTAAAAATTTAATGTCCTTTTGTTCCTAAATATACTTATTAGGGAGAGTTATTTTGAAGTACAGTGATCATGTGACAACATCTACATAAGCACATTTCTTGTGTACCAAAGTAAATATATATATTTTTGAAATCAACAAGAATGTAGATAATATATATACACCTATTTAAAATACACATATATATTGTTTAAAATTCTACACATAAACTTTTGGCATTATAATTAATTACCTCATTATATATATGACAATCAACCAGATATTTAATAAATTGAATTCAACATCAAAAATGTTTTAAGCTAGAAAACACATCTCTTTAAAACAATAAAAAGAATGAGCATTTGTATTGTAGAATTTATGATGTCACAACAGTTTATAAACAAAGACCTATAGAAATTCTCTCTACAATAAAAACAGTATTAAGAAACAAGTGATTGGAGCAGAGATATTTAATCTATTTCAAGTTACATATAAAATACAATACTAGACATAACTTAGCATTCCAAGGATTCACCGTGTGTGTGTCGGGTCCATCGTTGTAGTGAGAGGAGCTTCAACAGTGCCTGGGACTTGTGACCCAGGTGTAGGTTTAAGGGGCCTTATCTAACGCGCGTTAAACACTCACCTCCACCCTGAATGCTAAGGAGAATTTAATGAAATGACACCGTTTCTATATTGATAAATACTTCGTCAAATGTGATTACCATGCATATAGCACAAATTAGTTGTAGAATCTATATATATGTTTATAAGAATAGTATCAGTTGTAAATTTGTGTTTCATAGTAATAAAAATATAATTAGACCTTGTAAGGTTTGTATACAGCTTCTAATATTTAAATAATATTTTTCTACATTCTTTGTCTGTGTGTGTTAGTCTATGTGTGTGGGTGTATATGATGATGTGTGTATTTACTATTGTTAATAAGAGTTCTACGATTATATATATTTTGAATAATAAGCCACTCAACATTATGCTCTATCTTGTAATTAATTACTCATATTTCATGTAACACATAACAATTTTGTTACTAAAAAATTACTATTATAAAGTAATACTACCAATAATTAAATTGATAGTTAAATAAATTTTGATTGATATGTGCTCTAAGATATATCGAAAGATTTCTTTGACATTTAGATGTTTAGAAGCTTGTGACATTTTTATTTTCAGTGAATAAAATTACTTACTATTGATGAATAATAAAATTACTGTACTGGTAAATGTGGACATTGTTTACCAAATGTTTACAAATAACTTTTGAATGTTTTGTATACTTTTTGAACTGTTCTATATTTTAATATTGATTTCATTGACTTAAAGAAACATTATTTGTTACATTTAATATGTCAAAATTTTGTAGCATCACTTGAAAAAGTTCGAAAATTTTCATACACAAATACTGGAATATTGTATATATAAGTAAGTTTTATATTAATTTATTTCCAGATTGTGGGCTACAATATTCGTCCACCAGAGTCAAGACATCAATGTAGTTATTTCTTAACTCTACACCACACAATAATGTCGGCACCATTTTATACGAGCGAGAGAATATCTTCACCTCATCCCAAGTGGAAGGAGATTGATTCAGGTGAGATATATATCATATCATAATCATATCATTAAAAAAATATTATAAGATTATTTTTGACATTTGGCTTGGATGATATCTAAAATTTTTTTCTTATGTATTCAAAATTATCAAATATATTATAGAGTCAGTTGTGTGATTAAAATATATTTTATTGCTTATGTTCTTTATTCAATCTGTTATTATTTTATGTTTCACTTTTTGGCTTCATTCGCACTGAAATTGTGGAATATTTTGCCAATGTCAATGTTTTCATTTATTGAACAAATTATAATCTTGAGTAGTGTGTGGAAAAAACACGAAATAGTATGTCGAATTTAATATAGCCGTTTATTTAGTTATTTTGGGTAACTATTAAGATTGGTTGAATTGAATTTGACAATTTCATTAAATAATAGAATTGGTAATTCAATTTTGAAAGTTAAGTGATGAAGGCATATTTGAATCAATGATCGTCAAACTAAGATATGATTTATATTATATGTAATATATAACAAATACAAATAATTCCAAATCTATAAACTACATATAATACTGATAGTTTTACGTGTTATTATTTAAATGATACTAAGTTTTCGTATTACTACGCTTTGCTTATACAATAGCTATTACTTATTATGATATTATAAAAAACTACGCCATCGAAATTTCGGGCGAAAGTTACTTGTATAAGAAAGTTGTTTTGACACTTAGATGACATTGACATATATATTTTTTACTAAAGTGAAAACATTGGCAGCGATTTGTTTGAACTTAATACATTTTATGCATATTATTTAATTATTTATATATATATATTTAAAATTGGATTATCTTTTGTATGCCTTTACAGTCCAACGTCCGAGGTCATAGTTAATATGTTTGACTGACCGGTTTATTAAAAATATTCTACTAAATATGAATATTAATAGCATTTAAATAAAATATTGATTTTAATTTTTTTAAGCTAAATATAGAATAGACTCACGTTTTTTTTTGTTAAATCTTATTTTTTTACACTACTATTTTATCGTATTATATAAATTAATATATATTATAAAGTATATAAGGCAATAGCTTCTAGGTCAATGCCAGTCTTAAACCTTTTTATAGATAAGGCATTGAGTTAAACTTGTTGTCTCTTGTTTGTTAGTCAATACATTGATTGCATTGTAAATTATTTAAATTAAAATTTTCATCCAAATTGCTTATAGAATCATACAAATACACATAACAAACACGCACACACACATATAACACACACACAATCATACGGTGATGTATGACAAACATGAAGTAACATTCTAACCTACATTTGTTATCATTCTGAGTCATTCATAGTCAATCTAACCCCCACATCATAACCTATTTATTGCAGATCAAGTTTCCGTCTGAACTAAGTTTTTCCAGCTGATTCAGTCGCTTTAATTTATTTTTTTTACATCGCTGACTGATATTTTCTTTATTTTACGTATACATAGTAGTAATAAATTACTTATATAATAATATCATTGTTAATAATTTTATTGTGCCATAAATAGTATTAATGTTCAAAATAATATAATTGATTTGAGATAAAGTAAATGTTTAAGGTCAAAGAAGATATCAAGTATTCATATTATGTGATATAAGTATATATTTATCCGAAACACAGATAATTATCTTAATGCATTTCACACACGTACACACACATACACACATATACAGACACACACATATAAATATATTTCTCACGATAAGAATTTGCATTTTGATCGCGTCATTCGTTATATCATATCTTTGTAATAATTTGCTAAATAAATTTAATTTTACTGGTCACATTAATGTCATATATACAGGGTGACTGGTGAATTACTATCGATATTTGAGGACGTGATATTTGACGATCATATATGACAAAATAAAAATTAATATAACATAAATATCAATAAACTTCCAAGTAAAGTTAACCAAAAGTTATGTAATTAATTACGCATCGTATGAACACCCTACAGATTAGGTATACACACACACTCACACAGACGCGGCGGCGGCGTAGTGTTGTATCAGCACGCCGCCGCACGCGTCCACACTTGGAACACTTGGAACGTGTACACACTTTATTTATTTATACGGAAATTTTGTCAAAGATTAAGTACCTATTTTTTTTACATAATTCGAATGAGAATCATGTACCGAGTATGCTCCTTAAATATTGATAGTAATTCACCAGTCACCCTGTATATGTATAGATATAAAAGGAAAATATATCTTTATTTATGGACATAGTTTTATTTGTAACAATTTGTTAAAAACACATTTGTATAAGACGCGGCAGTTATCATCTAAATGAATACGATTTTAAAGTACATAAACACTATTTAAAGATGATACATTTGAAAACGATCAATAAAATAAATAAAATATGTTCGATTATGTATATGTATATATGTTTCTATAGTCAGTTATATTTGTTAAGAGAATATCCATCTATTCATCAAATTTAAATCAAATTTTTTATTTCTTTTCAGAAATAACTCGATGTATGTCTTCAACGAACGTCATTATACGTATATGGTGTCATATAATATCACCTTCTAAGGATGACAACGAAAAGTGTGAAGTCCAGGACAATATTATACAGACTTGGGGTGTTTATTTTAGCGGGCTGAGATATATAGGGGCTAATTTAGCGTTAAACTTCACTTCAGACTGTTTCAAGAGCAATACATTGGTGTTTCAAATGCATGGTGGTTATTTTTGTTCCTATAAAAGTCTTAAATTAGACGTTATCCCACCAGAAAATGATTTAGAACAGGGATCTCTTTCGTCGGACTCGTCTGGCAAAACGAACGTTTCTAAAATAACTTTAGAATCAAGAGTTATAAGGAATCACAAGTTCATAAAGGAATCTAGATCAATATCGCCCGGAAAGTTTTCCAAAAAGACCGATAAGGAATATTCCAAAAGCAATAGTCCAATAGAAAGAGGCTTTAGAAGAAATTTTGCTATGAGTTCAACGTCTAGCTTAAACGTCGATAGAGGTGATGATGTTATTGAAAGGAAGAAAGTTGAGACGAATCAGATATACGAACATTCACCAGATAATGTAGTGAAGGAATTTACTTCCAGTGATTTTAACTGTGATATATCGGCTTCCCACGAGGATATGTCGAATAAAATAGATTTGAGCGAAACAGCAGAAAACTATGACTTGAGAAATGAGGCTGATGGCATGCCGAAATATAGATATTTGGCATTAAGTTTCCTTAAATCCGAAATAAGACCTAGCTATAATGCAACTAAGCTGCAAAATTTGCATTTGCTTCAATATTCTATTAAGAAAAGGCAAGACGCCGTGCAGGAGATTAAGGAAAGAATCTATAAGAAGTCTGCTTTAACAGAAAATACAGATAATTGGTCTTCCGATGAATATAATCTTAGAGTTAAGAGCAGATCTGAGAGAAATCTATTTTCGCCTGACGATGATGAATCGAGCAAAGAAAAAACTTCCTCTCAAAGTGACACAAATTTGAAAAACGGGAAGATCAAGTCAGAAAAAGCTTCAATATCAAATGGACCACGTTTGACGTTGAAATTAAACGATCTCTTATCCTACAAGGTATTAATCATCCTAGTTAATTATACTTTAATTATATATACGATTTAACTGACCTAAATCATTTTATTCCCAGTCTAAACCCTCTCCCTTCCAACGGGCAGAACATGTCAGACTTACAAAGCAATTGGAGATTTTGCATTTCAAACGTCTCATTCTATCAGACGAAAGGGACAGCAAATTGGCTAACATAAGAAGACTGAAAGAGAAATATTCCAAATTATATGAAGAGAATCAAGATATAGGTAAGAAAATTATGATTTAGATCGAATAAGAGACGAAATTTCTTAGCATTCAATGTATTCACCGTGCGTGTGTCGGGTCCATCGTTGTAGTGAGAGGAGCTTCAACAGTGACTGGGACTTGCGACCCAAGTGTAGGTTTAAAGGGACCCTATCTAACGCGTTAAACGCTCACCTTCACTGTCCAAGCTCCTCTATATATTTCTATACAATAATAGAATGTATTAAACTTTACTAATCCGATTTAGGTTCAGAATTGATGCAGAATTATCATACGTTATCAAGAAGAACGGAAATTTTGAAGGAAACGAAAGAATCTTGTCTTTCTTTACGAGAACGCGCCGCCAGGTCCCACGCTGCGCTCTCTAGCTATAGAAGCAATATGTTGATGCAGTTGCATAAAATATTTTATATAGAACAGGTTTGTATACATAATTTATATTTGCCAAACAAAATTAATCAAAATTATTATCAAAATTAACTGGCGCTTTATTTAATAGCATGTTAATTTAAATGGGTATTTTTTTTTACTGTCATGTATTTTATTGTGCCCATCATATGATTAGTTCCTCGATTAAATAATATGTAATATTTTGTAATGCAATTCATGTAGAAAGAATGCAGTGAAAAATAAATCAACATATTAAGCAGAATATTACTACATTTTGCTTTAAAACTATTTAATTACTTTACAATTTAACTATCAACTCAAAATTGCCTAAATTTTAAGGAAAATTATAGGAATTTTATTTATTTTTTTTAATTGAAATTCAAATATACAGTATGTAGTAAAAAATTCATCAACATAAGCAGTATATTGCTATATCCTACTTTATACTTCATTACAATTTAACCTTCAACTCAAAATTGCATTATTTTTAAGGACATTCATTCGAATTCAACACTATACTATAAATAGCCCTAATTATGTGTATATTTTTAACATTTTCAGAAAGAACCAAACACATGGACCATATGCGACGTCCCATTACCTATATGCGGTGATGAAAATCCACGGGAATCGAACCCCGTACCCGACTCAGTTGCAGCGGGTTTTGTCGCTCAAGCAACATCTTTAACTGCTGCTATTCTAAACCAACCACTGAGATATAAGATCACGTTGTTGGGTTCAGCGAGCAAGATTTTGGATATAACACCAGATTTACCTGATCCAAAGTAAGCCTTATAAATTTTATACTAACATTACTTAGTCTAGTAGTTGGTCTAGTAGTTAAAAGGCCCGTCTCTCATGCACGAGGGCGCGGGTTCGGTCCTGGCCCTGGCAAGTACCAATGTGATTTTTCCGAGTCATATGTACTTTCTAAGAGTATTTAGACATCACTGATTAATGCATTCCCAAAGACGGTTGATGTGAGGCAGGCGGCCGGTCGTAGAAACAATTAGCCAAAACTATTCAGAACATGTAAGGCAGACCCTGGCAAAAGCTGGCAAATTTCCAGGTAGAAGAAGACTTATTTTAGATATTTATAATATTGGATTGTCTTCTGAAAATTAGAACAAAGTCGAAAGTAACACATATTTATAGATAAATGCATAAAAATTATTATTTATGTATATAAACCTCTCTATATGAAGAGAACAAATATACATAATGTTAATTTTAATTCTACACACCATGTATATTGCTCAATTAGTTCAACCTATATAACATATAGTATATCTTCTTCTACCTGGCAATTTTCCCAGCTTTAGCCAGGGTCTGCCTTACATGTTGTGAATAGTTTTGGCTAATTGTTTTTACGACCGGCCGCCAGCCTAACATCAATCCTCTTTGGGAATGTATTAATCAGTGATGTCTAAATACTCTCAGAAAGTACATATGACTCGGAAAAATCACATCGGTACTTGCCAGGATCAAACCCGCGCCCTTATGCATGAGAGGCGGGCTTTTTAACCACTAGGCCACCACTGACTATAACATATAGTATATATTAAAATAAAATATATTTAATTTTATTTTCATTTATATTTTCCAGTATACCGATATTCGCTCGAGGTGGTGACATCACGTTATTCAGATACGCCATGTTCCTTCTAAACAAATGTATAGCTCAATTATTATGGGGAAGAAATCTATCTGTACATGACATGAGACCGACATTGTCAAATTTACAGAGGTTAATGACCACGCCGAGTAATTTGTGAGTGTTTTTTATATTTTTTAGGCATTTTAGCGGCTATTTACTTGTCTAATTAATTTTTACTTCAGAAGTAAGTCAAGTTATAAATAAATGAATGAATTTCTTTCGAATAAGTATGCTTGTGATAAAATTATTCTGATTGTTCACAACTTAATTAATAATAAAGCTTATAATGTCATAGAATAAAGACAATTACATTCTTTAGAAGTTTAACCTATTGAGGAAAATTTTGAATTTATTCATATATGTAGATTCTTTTATTACTTTAATTAATTTTCTTTCAATGTTTTCACTTAAAATGAGTCAAACTGTTCAATAAGGGTGTATCTAATACAACTTACTTTCAATGTTTTTTTAGAGAACTTTTCTGTTGTATACTCAAATAAGTATCTTCTTCTTTCTTCTATACATATATAAAAATGGATTGCTGTTCCTTAGTCTCGCTAAAACTCGAGAACAGCTGAACGGATTTATCTTATCTTAGTCTTTAAATGTTCGTGGAGGTTCAGGGAAGGTATAAAAGCTGAAAAAAATTGATTCATTACTGGGAAAACCATAAAAACAGCCCTTTTCCATTTCCCATACAAACGTTTTTTTCTGACATTAGATTTGACAACTAACTAATATGTCAATCATTCTAACAGATATTTCTTGATTATAGAGCGATATGAAATTCGCCGGGTCTTCTAGTATATATATATCTAATATATAAAATTCTCGTGTCACAGTTTTCGTGCCCATACTCCTCCGAAACAACCTGACCGATTTTGATGAAATTTTTTGTGCTTATTCGGTAGCTATGAGAATCGGCCAACATCTATTTTTCATCCCCCTAAATGTTAGGGGTAGTCCACCCCTAAATTTTTATTTTTATTTTTTAGACAAAATTTTTAATTACTATTTTTTTATGATACAACGTACAAAAATACATACAATCCTAAATTTTCACCCTTCTACGATCAACCCTTATTTTTTTTAATAGCTATTTTAGTAATTTAATCATTTTTCATCTCCGGTCGATAACTGATCAATCGTCATTTAATAAGTTATCCCCGCCAGATATCTACAGGTGTCACTTCTGACCCAGTAAACAGCACGGAGTAGGGATGAGAACGAAGCCGGTCTTCTGTTTCTCTCACACAATTAGACTTCTCTCACTCCCTACACAGTTGTCGGCCATCGTTATTGTTTGTGCATCAAGTGTAGTAGTAACGTTGACAATTATTATTTTGCTAGCTCAGTGTAACTCTCATATTAACTATTAATCATTCCTAATCACTTCAAAACACGGAGATTTATGGCTTTAATAGGTAAACTCCAAAAATATAAATAGAAAAACGTAACAGATATTTCTTGATTATAGGGCGAAACGAAGTTCGCCGGGTCTTCTAGTAAATGTATAATATAATTTTTCAGATCAGACACATCAAAGTTATTCGGTACATATTGTTGGCTGGCTGACAGCGAGTGTCCCAGAACACAATCATTAAGAAGCCTAGCGCCTTCAGACAGGAAATACAGACAGTTCAATAGATTTAAGGTATTATGTTTTTATTTTAAGCTTAATCACAATATTTATTAAATAATAAGTTATACATATGGGTTGCTTAGTGTACTATTTCTTTATATGGTGACCTCTATTTGTTAGTAGTTCTATAAATTGTCCGCTGTATATTTTTCTAGTGCTATTTCTTGTATTATCTTTTTATTTATGTATTACCATTACTATATGTACATATTACAATATGTACTGGCAAGCAGCATGTAGTATCATCATACGAACACTGTCATAACTATATGCGTCTCACTTACACACTTGTAAATTTATAAGTATAAGAGATAGCTAGTTCTGTTTCATATACTTACAAATACCGGACGATTTTTTTTCTAAAGACGAGAATATAAATATTTTGTGAAACAATTTTCCCTGTGTTAACATTTTGTATTGCATTTGTTGTGCATATTTATCTAGATTATATTTTTTTTTCATTTGATCAATAATTGTAAGTTAAATAAATTTCAAATTTGTTTTAAGTTAATAACATTTTTTAAATTTTGCGCTAATTTAAAGTTACATCAACTATTATATCAGTATCTGTTAAAAACGTAATCTTTAAACGGCCGGGCTGTACTATGTACTTAGAAATAAAAAGTTCTAGTCAAATGAATTACTAATCAAAGTTATTCTTAAATCATAAGATTAACATCATATTAGTAGTAATATTTTCTATTCCTACGTAATTTTTTGTAGTACAATATATTTATTAATTTTTGTACCAGTACTGCTATACATTCCAAGCTCTGTGTTGGTACTTCTAATCTTTATTAGCTCTTTATAAATTGCCGCCTCTGAATTTATCCTATATGTATTATTTTCTAAGTTATTTTAATGTTTTATTGTATGTATTTTTCTTCAAGGAAACGGTTGACGGTCATTCACCCCAGAAATGTCAAAATGTTAGACGACATAAACATTCTAGAAGCGTGGGGAGTTATCAAGATGAAAAGGTTAGTATTAGAGTGTATACCGCGATGATAGATTTGAATGGAATCGTGGGTGATATTGTATTGAAACTATTGACATTGCAATCTATACAAATGTTAAATACTTGAATATTTAAAACAATTACCAAAGAAGACTGAACTAATTACCAAATTTTAAATTATAATTTATATAAAAATCGTTTTTGCAGGAATTAACAGATTTAAATGACTCCACAATATCGATTATGGGAAGTGAATCGAATATATATCATATGAAGATTAAACCGAATTTGAAGCAACACAACTCAGAGCCACAAATATCTAGAGAGGACGAGAAATTAGTGCGAATATCGAGCAACAATGAAGACGAAATAACATGTTCTAGCTGTTTAGACGACAATGTTAAGAGGATATGTACTGAAATCAATGATTTCTGTACAAAATCAAATGTCGGAATTAATATAGCCGAATATATGGAAAGGAAGAATAGTGTGGAGGTTGAACTAGTATGCGATAATGTGAGAGACGTCATAGTTATACCCAGCGCTGAAGCTATTCTAGATACGGGACAGAGCGTTGATGAATAGTATTTATTAGCAAAAGAAATTCCTTTATATTTATTTGTCCCTTCTATACATCATTAGCTCTATGGTAATCGATATATAAAGACAATATAATAAAACCAGTATATCCCTACTTTGATTTTATTTTCATTAACATTAATAGAAAAATAAACTCATTAAATAATTACAAATAGTTTTAATTAAAATTGAATTTATATAAACTTGTAATTTTGGCGGTTTTTGTACGGTGTGACAGATCGTTTTGAATGCTTTGTTCTGATTGGTCGAAATAAATACAGCATAATGTTGACAAATATCGACCAATCACAGACGAGGACGTAATTGTCAAATTGATGTTCGAACGAAATTTAATTTGAAACATGATTTTACATTTATTTCTAAATAAAATTTGGCTGTGTTTTTTCTTTCATAATTTATTCATTTGTATAGTAAATAACATTATTAGTATGCATTATATACATTAATTTTATTTTGTACCTTAATATTATTATATAGTAATTTACAATAAAATTGCCGTATCGTTTTTATAATATATAAAAGTAAGGAATAGGGAACACGAAATTTTATAAGCTAATATGTATTTATTGTAGTGTATAATAAAAGGATGATTTGTTCCTTTTAATTTTAATTTAGTTAAAACCTCAAACATAGATTAGTTAATGAAAATGGAAGAAATAGTTTTTTTTGTACTTTATATTTTTGAATGGAATGTGAAATATTTCTTTATAATTTCAATTTTTTTTTTGTAATGGTATATATAATGAGGTCCAAAAAAATTCTGACATTTTAAATTTAGAACACACTTTTGATAATTTCATATTTGAATTTCGAATTCGACAATTTCAGTTATTTTGTGTTAACTTCATTAAACAGTATAATAAAACTTAAATTAACGAAATAGCGTTTATAGATATAATAAATTATTTATTTGTATCTGTTGTTTTATTTTATCTATAATTTATACATTATGTCTTATTAATTATTAGGAATAATACATATAAATTCATTATTAAGTGGATACTGCTTAAATTCATAAATACACAGAAAGTATGACTGAAGCTAAGATAATAAAATCTTATGTTAAATACTTTAAAGCAATTATACAAATAATAAAAAAAATATTTTTAAAGCAAATTGATGTATATAAATATGACATTTACAATATTTGTACGTATGTTTGTTCCAAATTATCTCTGTAATGGGTGCACCGATTTTGTTGTGATTTCATTTGATGTAGTAACAATATATGTACTTTGATATTATAAAAAATATATAAATTTATATACATATGTATTTTAAAAACTACTTATGCTCGGCTGAAGTTACACCCAATATAAAATAAGCCTATTTGGTATAAAAAATTATTAAAAATCACAAGTTATTATATATTTATAAACTATTTATGAGGCCCTTAACATTAGAATATGTACCAGCTACAAATAATAATACACCTATCAGTATAACGAAGATGTTTTTCCACAATCTCCAGTTTAATCTACCGAGGCCAGGGCTCTCCCAAATCACCAATAGTTCTATGAAAGCCGGGAATATGAAACCCATGTTTGAAAGGCAAAACGCACCCAACTGTAAAAAAAGAATTAATACATATTATTATTGTATGTATGTATTTAATTTTAAATAAATATTAGAATTTATGGATATATATCTTTAATCGGATAGTATTTAATATTTTCCTATTTTGACAAGTTTTTTAAGTAAATTGTAATAAAATATCCTATTAATAGTGTCTCGTCTTATTATTATTGGACTTCCAGTCTTGGTCTTGGTCTTGTTAAAATTAAGCGGTTTTGGCCTTGTTCTTGAATTTTGCAAGACCCAGATCGGTTTTGCCAAATAGGCAACTCTAATTTAAATACGTTAAATTGATAGTTAAATTTAACTTAACTTGTAAGTAAACTCACCAGACCCATCAGGTTACCGATATTAGGGAAGGCGATTGCAATGGCTGTGATCATTATTACAAATATAGATCTATATACGCGTTCCCAGAGCCAGTATTTCTTTGGATTGTGTTTCTTTGATACGTAGTGCCACACAAGATTGAAGGGAGCCCAGAAGTTGAGAGCGAAAGTGATGAAAATCATCACACCCATCAAACATTTTAAGACGGTTGGAAAGCTGAAATAGAATGAATTAATTCGGAATTTGTTTACATTATCATGGTAATATAAAAATTATCTCTATATATTTGAAAGAAAGTGATAATAGTTACACTATTTATAACTCAACAACGGCTGTTGGGATATCGCTTGAAATTTTACTGGGAGATAGCTTAGAACCAGGAGATGGACATAGGATATTTACTTGATTCTGTTCGATTGAAAAAAAAAACTTAATAAATTCCAATATCTGGTTATTTACAGCCTCTTGAGCGGAATAGAGTTCGCCCGGTCAGCTATACAAATATTACTAATTCCGAAATTTAGGCGGGCGAAGTCGCGGTTAAAAACTAGTATTGAATAAAATGCTCACATTTCGGTGGGAAAATTCAATGTAACCGGTGATATGGAATTCTCTCCGAAGCCCCAATATCCAAAGAATCCGACTAGCATTAAGAATAACACAACCACGCACATACCTGTGTATTGAAATGAAAAAGGTTAAAGAAAAATAATTTTATTTTTACAAAATTATCCTGGACAAATAAGTGCAAAAAATGCAATATCTTATTCATTTTATATCATTGTTTTCGGACAAATATACTAATTTAATAGGGATAAGAAGACCTAAGCAACTCTAGTTAGATTTTGCGAGAATTAACTGTAATTTTTATGGAAGTTACATTAAAATATACAAAAACTTTGCTTTTCCTTAAATATGAACGTCTCCAAAAAAGTAAATTATAAAACCAGTAACATATTTATTACAAAAAGTATACCTTTTAAACATATTTTACAACGTACCTGCAGCAAGTATCTTTGGAAATTTCTCAGGTTCTTTCATATTATTCTCTATTGGCAAAGAAACTCCGATGCCCTCCATACTGAAGACCACTATGCCGCAGAATTCAAAGAAACCAATTCCATCCTTCCAAGCGGGTACTGATGCCAACGGCGGAGCAGACTTATACCCATAGTATATCGTTGCAACAACACACGCAACTGAAATGGTTAGGCTTTTGATAAAATCTTCCTATATTCTTAATTCGTCCTGATATTTTTTGGTTGATAAACAAATATAAATAAAATATGTTTTCTTTGTTACTGTATTTTATGTTTAGCAATATATTTGAGGTTTTCTATTTAAGAAACAGTTCTCATCTATATTGAATTATGTTATTGTTTGTAGTGATTATATTTTAACATAAAAACTTGTTCAGTTTGAATAACAGTTTTAATTATGGTTAAGTTGATTAAATAAAGCTTTAAATGAAACTTACGCTTACGCGTAGTTTATTATTGTAAAATCTACATATACCTACTCCCGACGTTTCGGTTACTGAAAAGTATGTAGCATAAAATACGCTTAGTATAATCGGAAAAATATTCGTTTCATTTAAATGCATACTCGCGAAAGTCTTATATCTCATTAAATAAGTCTTTATCTGAGTAACTTACCAATAAAAACATCAGCGATTAACGTGAATGGTGCTAAATATTTCAGTGTGGTTATCATACAAAGCAATAATACAGGTATTAGTAGAGCGAAAATATACAGTCTCAGACGGTTTAAATCATATGACTGCTCTTCTGTACTGGCTTCTACGACTTCTTTGATTGTCTTCGCGATTATTATTTGGTAAACGCAACAAGCCCCAAACAAGTCTATACAAATTACTGTGTCGACTGCATATCTATAAAAAACAGCATGGTTTCAAATATAGACAAATGACTGATCAAAAATTTATTTCAATTTATTATTCTTTTGGACTCATAAAAATTATATATCTGGGATTTCTTAAAATATGACTTTAGGGAGAGTTTTTATTTTTGTTTCTCATATCTTATCAATGTATAAGATTTTTTCTTAATTTAAGCATTTGTAATCTTTAATGCATAGTCATATTAATGAGTAATGTGTTATAAATTTAAGTATTTCAAATTTTTAATGCATAGTCACATTTAAAATAAATTAAAAAGATTAATAATTGCGTTTAATTTATATTTTTTAATAGACGTCAAAATCAATTCTCTATTAAACATTTGTATTTGTGACTCAAAAATGTAATTAAAAATCTTATAATATTGACACTTTAAATTTATATTACACTGTTTGTTATAATATTTCTTTTGCTTTGAATGAAATTGAATTGTGTTTTACCTAAAGAATTTGCTGTATTTTCTTAATTTTGGAAATGGACCTACTTCCAACGATGCTTCAGCTAAGTCTGGGTATGACATCTCAGTGAGATGCAGCCTCTTATATAATGTTTGAGCGGACTTTACTAGTATCTGTAAAATAAATAAAAAACATCTTTAACTTTGTATACTAAAAATAATCTTATCCATTATTAGAATTCTTCAAAAGTATCTATTACTCTTATATCCTTGAACATTGATCTCAAGACAGACAATTATTTTGAGTCGTTTCCTAATTAGTAAGACGTTTGCAAGTCTAAATTAACTGTTATTCTAAATAGAACAATTTAAATAACCTTAATATTAAAAGTTATAAAGTATTATAAAACTTACATGCATGCAGTACGCTATATAAAACCCGAAAATCACTGTTATAAATAAAGACGTCCATAGCCCAGATTTCATGTAGGCCTCATGAATACCTAGAATGCCTCCGCCGAGACAACCTTTTATAAGATGCCCCGTTGATTCTATAGTACTGGAACAAGCGGCGAAATAAATTTTTGAGAGGTATTAAAAAGAAAAGCGTCATTATTGCGGTATAGTGCTACAGAATATAGTGTATTTTTTGTCACGATTGAAGATAACATTGCTTTTTTTATTGCTAACATCGGTGTATCATTTTTTAAGTATACCACCTAGTCAACATGTATTTTATATAAAAATTTTGATGAATCTTCCACAGTATATAAAGCTAGTTAAATATTATGAAGATAAGAATTGATTTAATTATTTGAAGACTCAAATATTTTGTTTACATAATCTGACAAAGTTTCCACTCTTCAGCTATATGTAACGGAGTTCCTAATCTTTTGTTATACATTTAAAATTTATGGCGTACCAGATAAATATTACCATATTTCTTATTAGAATTTTCTTCACGAAATCACAAGAACTCCAAAAAGCTAAGATAACAATAAATATTTTTGGTCTATAAAAGAAAAAAAACAAATAGTTTATTTAAATACAAAAATGTCAAATAAATTAACACCGGCCAAGTTATTCTACATTTGTTTTACGTGTCGGGAATTGAGGTCGCGTCCATTTAAAATAAATTGATTGATATCAAACATGCAAGAGAAAACACCGATTACATGAAATTGAATCAGAGCCTTCAGCGTCATAGCAATTATCAAACACGATGAAAATAATATTTAATTGAATGTAAAAATAATTAAAATACTTATTTATTATACTTTCATATGATATATTAATTAAATTTTATCATACTAGTTTTTGCACGCAACTTTACCCGCGTGAGTAACGGAGTTGCCTAAGAGAGAAATGTCTAGTCTGTTGGAACAATAGATATCACGTGCCTTCACACACAATACAGCAGTTACAGTGTGATTCCTTAAAAATTACATGAAATCTCGCGGCAAATTATAGCCTATATTTTATTTTAATGTCTAAACTACATCAGTACAAAGTTCCATAAAAATGTTAGTCTTAGTTTATGCGTGAAAGAGGAACAAACATTCAAACATGAATATATGCTCACAAAATTTTGCATTCATATTAGTATAGGATACAAATAAGGCAGACCCAATTTCTCGTAAAAGATTTTCAGGTTAATTTTTTTCGCAATAGTATCTTTTTAACATCTACATGAAATAAAGTTATTGAATGTTTAATATATTTTAGTTCAGATTCTAGGCCCTTTTATCTATATATATTTTTTTTTGTGATTACTATACATACATTATTTGTAGTAATTAATATGTAATTAGAAACATACTTAGTAGGTCTTCGTATTTGTCTCTCCTTCACGAAGTCAAATGTATCTTTTTCTGGGTACAGCACAAATCTTTTCGCTTTTACATACGGCGGGGGCTGCGGTGGAGGCTTACTTGGATCAAAATCAAGTTCAGTTTGCGTGTGATTTATCTGAAAATGGTGAGATTTATATATGACTGTAATTTACTCATAAAAGTATAGTTAAACATGATCATCATCATCATTATCAATATCAGCCTATCAGAGCCCACAGTTAAGCAAAGGCGTCTTCTCACATGGAGAAGGTTTTGAGCATTAATCACCATGCTTGCTCAAGACGGGGTGTTGATTTCACACTTGTAATTTTAAATTATAAATCTAGGTTTCTTCACGATGTTTTCCTTCACCGTCTGTCAGTGGTGTCTAAATACTTTTGGAAAGTACATATGACTCGGAAAAAATCACATTGGTACTTGCCAGGTTTAGAAGCCGCTCCGTCTTGCATGAAAGGCGGGCCTTTAACCTCTAGGCCACCACGACCACAAACAACATTTAATGGTCAAACCCAATTGTGACATTCGGATTTAAGCTATAATGTCAAAATAAAACTAACCAATCTCGTCACATCTCATCTGCCCTTGATCACGGCTATTTCAAAGTAACCGAAGCGTCGGGGATATATTTTTAAAAGTAATTATAACTGTGTTACGATCGCGCTACGTGTTAAGAAATAATTAAACATCGCAAGAGCAAAATCTATGTCTGGGTAAAATATCGTATAACGAGTGACGCCGCTGACTCCGCGGAACGAACACCAAGAGGTGTGAACTAGAAGATTCCTTACACCATTCAAACAATGGAATGCCATTGTCATCCTAACATCTGGGCAATCATTTAGTTTTAGGTTACAAGTTTCAACAAGTAATTTGTATTTTAATATACAAATAAGTATGTTTCGTAGTTTTCCTGGAACCTCCGGTTGCCACCTTATGTAATTACCGCGTAGTAAATTCGAAAAATATTAGTTTTATTTCAATTAATACTCGCGAAAATCTTAGATTTTACCTACAATGTTGTTAAGTTTCATAGAAACACATTTAGTTACTTCTTCTAGTAATTATTATCTATTCTCGTGAATACATTTATATCATTAATGATGTTATCTTAGATACAAACAAAGTTTCACATTAAAATGTATTTAATTGTGTTTTTAACAACCGAAAGAAACGTGAGACAAATAAAGTCGTAGTTCATACAAATGAAATTCAAAGTATTCTCTTAAATAAATTCTCTACAAACAAGTAATAATTACGGTGATAGTTTAGACTCTTGGAGTTACATTTGTCATTAAACGTATTTTTTTTATTATCACCAACTAGCTTTCCACTCGCAGCTTCGCCCGCGTAGTGTTCGGTTATATCGCGTTTCCAAGAGAACCTTTCAAAAGTCTGGGATAAAACTATCCTATGTTCTCTCTCAAGGTCAACTCTATGTCTGTAAAAAAATTTCATTAAAATCAGTTCAGTGGTTTAGCGTGAAAGAGTAAAAGACAGACAGACAGACAGAGTTACTTTCGCATTTATAATATTAGTAGTGATAATAATTTTTCATTACACACTCGTGAATGAAAGTTTTCAAAGAGAATTAAATAATATTAAAATTCAATGTTAACTATTCTATTTTTAATGATTATCTTCAAGAATTTTGAAGGAAACATATAATATTTAAAAATTTAATAGTTGCTAAAAATTATACATCACTATTTTTTCTACTTAAAGTTATGTTTGATTATCAGGTCTTTTATTACTTTTGACTTAATCGTATGTTGCTTTATTTTTGTCTAACGCTTGCTGCGATATTCAATATTATTTTAGTTTAATCCTGAATATGAATGACCTATACCTATTATATTTAAATCTTAAATGGAAGGATTCATATATATGATTAAAATTTAGTTCAGAATCGCTAATACTTTTATTATTATTAACAAAAATATTTTAGTACAGAAAACAGTTTATACTAATTAAAATATAACCTTCGCCGTACTTTTTATCTCTTTATAAACACGAGGCGAAAGAGTATGTTTTAATTGCCTTGTATTAATTTATCATAATGTAAATAATAGGATTAAAATATTATCAACAACTATTAAGTGGTCTAATCTAACATGAAATACCTGTGGAGCTATCATCTTTGATTTTAATTGTGATTGAAGATTTGTTAAGTTATTATTTAAATTCCATTCAATGTGTAAACACTTGAATGATTAATGCCTACTAATATTATAAATGCGAAAGTAACTCTGTCTGTCTGTAACGGTTTCACTCCTAAATCACAAAACTGATTTTAATGAAATTTGGTACAGAGATGGAGTTGACCTTGAGAAAGGACATATGTAGTATGGTTTTTCTCCCAGACTTTTGAAAGTTTCTCTTGGAAACGCGATATAACCGAACTCCACGCGGGCGAAGCTGCGGGCGGAAATCTAGCTATCTAATAAATTATTGAAAATTGTATACATTGTGAATGCCAGGGCTGGCTAGTTCCGAAGCTATTAAAGATTTTTTATATAAAAAAAATCAATTCAGAAATTTTAAAAACTCACACCTTAGATTCCTTATAGAAAAGTATTCAAGATCATAATCATAAAGAAAATGATATGAAGATTTTATGTAAAGTATTCAATATAAATAAAAGATAATATTTTGTCTTTTTAGTGAAAGATTAGTTAAAAGAAATTAATAATATTTGCTGTCTTGTAGTCCAATTATACAAAATGTTCCATCTCATTAAGTATTTTAACAAAATCAAACAAACACTTCGTAAAATAATTTTTAAATAAAATAATATTATTACCTTTATAAAACTTGTATGTTAATGAACTCGTTTAGACCTATATATTTAATTCGATTTTATATATTTTTTTATACATTGTCCGTAAAAATCACATAAAAATCAAGTTTTTCAAGTTATAAGCGTATTTATGAGGCAAACTAAATTTGAAAGTGAAAAAAAAAAAAACAAAATAAAGAAAGAATTATATTATAATGTAACGCGTAGAAAAAAGATATCGCGTAGATAAAATCTTTTTAAAGAAAGAAAACAATTCATAAAAATACTTTTTTTTAATCAGAGCACTTTGCTGTGGAATTTTTCTCTTTACGTTATTGATAAGGACATGTGAAAATCTATTGGACATATGAAAATGAAATTTGGTGGGTATTGAAATCCGACTTCAAGACATTCGTCCCTTTAAGTAAGGCGAAAAAATAGACGAATAATAATTTAAATTTCATTTAGGTTCTGAAAAACAAATACATCACATGGTTGATTTTTTTATCCAAAGTCGGATTTAAAACTAGGTCTAAAAACAAAAATAAATTTCATTCGATACACTTTAATTCTATAGAATAAACACGATTTAAAGCTACATGGATATTTGAAAACCTAGTAGCACTATTTAAATGTGTAGTTTAGGAGCTGTTGTAAGCTAATAATATGAATATTTCGACTTATGTTTCAAGTGTTTATTAAATAAAATTAACTCACATTATTAGAATTCATTTCCATTATCACAGAACCTCTCTATTTCACTGCTGATGTACGTATCAATTAAACATCAAGATCCTACCGGCCTTCGAGCGTACAATCGACGATGGAACGCATTCATATGCAAATATTCGTCTATTTTTAATAATATAACCTTATATAATTCACTGTATACATACTTTTACTCATTAGAAAAATGTTTTGCTGTAATATATGACTTTTGCTTTTATAATTATAGACATTTAAGTGATTAGTATTTGTCGTTTGTGAATAAACATATATGTTTAGAAAACTTTGAAACTGTATTTAGAGGTTTACGATATAAATTTGTATGAATGATCGGAACGTATATAGAAAGCAAAATTTCATTTCAAGTAAATCTTCTATATAATATATTTCTTTTGAATACTATGAAATGTTATATTAATTTGAACATGTTATATATTTTCAAATGACATTTATTTGTTTATAGGAATATAATTTAAACTGTTTCTACCTAACTGTACAATTGAACACAATTTAAATTTAAGTGTCTTATCTACAGATGTTTTTAGCAAACTATAAGGTCGTATAAATAATTCACATTAAAAAACTATCAATTCATTTTCTTAAAACTTTTAATACATTTTTTTATAAAATATAGTGCGATCGCCGATCAATTTTAAAAGCATAAGCTTTTTCATAATCTCTTCAATATTCGTGCTGCTTAATTACTTTGTTTCATAAACAATCACACACGATTCCTGACAACATGAACATCACGCCGATATTCAGTCATTGGGAAACAGACGTTTTGTGTGACGAGTGTAAAAATATTGATGCTTTGGCAAAAGGCGCCAGCAATATCGTTTATCATAACTTCAAATGGCAGTTCGCTACATTAGTGCTAATGAATTCTACAGTGTTTTGTGGTGTTGGCGCATTTATGAAGTCTTATGGGAGGAATATTATTTTTGTTAATGAATTATCATCACCGATGTTTTATGAAACAATGACTCAATTCGTTCTTTTTGGATATGATCTTGATAATATTGTTACCATGTTGCAGTGGATAGAGAGTTACAATTTGGACAATACTGGTAATTTTATAATCATCTGCCAATCCGATGAAAGAGATCTATGTGATGAGAGCGAGGCTGTAAAAATTTTATGGGAGTTTAGAGTGGTTAATGTTATTTTTGTTAATCTCTCGCACCGTGGGACCGGTTATTCCTATAATTACGAAGAAAACTGTAAACCTGGTCCACCTATGAAACTAAAAAATTGGGATACTTGCTTCGAATCCGGAATAAACTGTTATGATTATTTCCCTATGAAATTACAAAACTTCCACGAATGTCCGATTTTAGTTTCCACTTTCATTCAGCAACCTTATATGGTTTTGAACGATAACGTGCCGTCGGGGGCAGATGGAGATTTATTACGTATATTGATAGGAGCTTTAAATGCAACTCTTGTAGTGAAAACTCCGTGGAAAGGTGATGGGTGGGGAAATATTGACGAAAACGGGAGCTGGGTGGGATCTCTTGGTGATCTATATTATAATTTAGCTGACTTCTCGATGACATCCGCTAGTATCACAGAAACCAGGTATACAGAGTTTCAGCTCTCTACATTCTATTATCACTTAACGCTGGTATGGGTGACTCACCCATCGGTGGAAGAAGAACCAACATTCAAACTTATGCGGCCATTTAGGACCGACTCGAGAGAGGCACTTTTAATATATTTCATTTTATTTCTGCTTCTAATGTTAATTCTTAAGACGAATTTTTGTAGATCCCTATTCATGGTGATGCAGATTTTTATAAGCAAAAGCATTCTATTTCATTCTGTAGAAATATGTATGGGTCAACCAGTAGCCTTGCAAACAAAGAAAAGCAGTGTTTTATCATTCATACTTATTTGGATAGTTTTCTGTTTTCTTATCAGAACATTTTATCAAGTACATCTCATAAACTCTCTGAAGACGGATGTGTACATGTCAAATTTTGTAACTATAAAGGACGCAATAAGAGAAGAATATGATTATGGTGGAGGTCTAGCTCTGAGAGACTATTATGTTGATCAACCAGAAATATTTGATAATTGGAAAGAAGTAAATAGCACTGACTATTTAGAAATTATGAATAATCTGACTAAAGGTACCAAATTTGTTTTGGCTATGAATTTAGCTAGTACGAAATATTTTATTAAAAACACAGGAAAAAAGTTACACATTCTACCAAAAACAATTATAACATCGCCGACTATATTGTTCTTCAAAAAATTTTCCCCTTTAGTTTTGCCGATTAATCAGATTCTTAGCCGTTTAGTTGAATTTGGTATCCCGCAAATGCTTTATGAAAAAAGTACCTCAACAGTACATAAGACTGAATCGTCTAATAATTATAAACCTATCAAGCTAAAAGAATGCGCAGGCTGTTTTGAATTATTATGCATAGGTTGGTTGTTATCGCTTGTAATCTTAATCGTGGAAATGTTGATAAAAAAATGTAAAAGCATAAAATTATACAACAACCACTAAATCACCTTATTCCCATTAAAATTATTAAATCGTAAATAATAAGTGAAGCCTAAATGTATAGTGTTTAAGCATGACATGTAAAACAGCAATCAGTGTTTACAGTTATCACCCGTGTATTTCTATTAGCAGCGATTGTTCTTTCGATAAAACTTACATTGGATTTACCTAAAAGCTTCGCAATGAACAATACCGATCGATTTATATACGAAGAGCCGATTGTATTAGAAAAAATAGGTAGAATAGCGGCAAAGATTGCTTATTATAATTTTGAGTGGCGTTTAATGACTTTAGTTATATTTAATTCAGTAAACTGCGTCTTCGCATTAGAGTCATTTTTTAACGCCTACAATAAGGCTTTAGTTGTAACATGTGGAAGATTTGTTCTTCATCAACAAACTGTTTTTCCACAGTTTGTTATATTTGGTCACAATTCTGTGGAAATCATCAATACTATCAAATGGATCGACAAATCAAGATATGATAATGCTGGAAAATTCATTATCATATGCCTTGATTTAGAAAACAAAAATTGCGATGAAAATCGGGTTTTCTTTACATTGGCAAAAGTTAAAATAATAAAAGTAGTGTATTTAAGAGTGACCAAGGACTCGGAGTACTTGTCCTTTTCATATGATTTTATTCTGCCCGATAATTGCTATAATAGTAAACCAGAATTGATTAATTTCGACGCGAAATGTCCAAACGATGATTGTTTCAAAATGTTATTTCAAGATCAGCTAAAGAATTTTTATGGATGTCCTCTAATTGTGTCTACATTTGAACAGCCTCCATTTATGTATCTAAATAATGAGACTATGGAACCTACAGGCAGCGATGGAGATATCATCACACTAGTGGCAGAGGCTTTGAATGCTTCGTTGGAAATAAGGATTCCTTTAGCAGGCGATACATGGGGGAATTATGAAAATAATAACTGGACTGGGTCATTGGGCGATGTTTATAACGACCGCGTACACGTGTCCGTTTGTTCATTGCCTATTTCCGAAGATAAGTATGGTAATTTTCAAATTTCCTATATTTACAACTCAATGGATATAGTTTGGACAGCTGAAGTACCACCGATTAAGCCATCTTGGACTAAATTGCTTTCTTCTTTGGACGTAACTTTACGAATTGCAATATTTGTAATGTTCATTGCAATTGCCCTCATCAATTCTATTTTAAGAAGTCATCTTTGGCGAAAATTTTTCAAAGTTTTAAGAATAAAATCTTTTCGATCAAATCTACTCATTAATTCCTGGGCCTTATTTCTTGGAATACCGATATTAAGAATGCCAAACAAACGGGCATTTAAATTCATTGTCTTTAGCTGGATTTGGTTCAGTTTTATTATTAAAATTGCATATCAAGCAGCATTAATAAGTTCTCTGAAGAATAAACAATTTGGAGATAAGTTTCCCGACTTTGAATCAGTGCTAGAAACCAAGCGCCCTTATGGGGGTTTGCCAACTCTTAGGCAATATTACATTGAGGATCCTTACGTTTATGACAACTGGATCGTCCTGGATTTTGATGAATCTTATGAAACTTTAGAACAGATATGTGACGTTTCAACAAACTTTGTTCTGGCATTTAATAAGGAAATTATAATGGAACACCTTTTTAAGTACAATGGAACAAAAAGATTACAGATCTTGCCTCATAAAATTGTGAACAGTCCTACAGTGATGTATTTCAAGAAGTATTCCGTATTTGAGGCTCCCGTTAGTGCTGTGCTTAGTAGAATGGTAGAATCGGGATTAACACAATTCTGGCGAAACAGATATTTGACATATGTAAACTTTTTCTTTCGTAGAATAGAGGATCACGAAGAGGAACCGTTTACGTTTGACAATTTTAAAGCATGCTTGGCTTTATTAGTTTTTGGTTGGGTTTTATCAATAATATTTTTTGTATTGGAAGTTTTTTGTGGAAGATACGAGAAAAGGCTTAAATAATAATAATTAATTATAGCGGTTCAATAAGAAGCAACATAGATATTGTGTATTAGTAAATGTTGTTTCTGCTTACGGTGTTTAAAAGTGTTTTTAGTAAATGTATTCATGACAAAATAGTAATAAAATAGTGATGAAATTCTTTGTTTTATTGTTTTGTACCTACTACTCTTTGGTTAACTTAAAGAAGCAATCTTTGTAAATAAGTCATATTTTAAATAAAGCTAAATAAATAACTAATAAATGAAAAGATAAATGTTATCATAAGTTTATTTACCATATTTCAATAAAAAACATATACATTTTTAGACCATAAATATTGTAAACAAAATACTCTGTCTCACTTTAAAATTCATAAAACTACGTTTATTCATCTAAACAATAGTGATAACATTAAAAAGATAAACATATTTTTAATTGTGTAATTTCTGTTCTCACAGTGTATAGATATTTAAAAGTTAAAATTACTATGTGACATAATATATTATACTTTTAGTATTATAAATAGAAAAAAAAAATTCTTAAAACGCCTTGAAATGTACGTCATATACATATTTATATGTACAAGAAATATTTTTTCTTTATTATTACCCATCGCTTTGATGTTTGAAAAATATGATTAATAGGGATTCATGGTTTTGAAAGGAATATTTTTATTGTATGTTAAACATAACAAAGGGCTATTTTAACAAATCTTTATACATTAACATTGTTAGCATATAAAGGTTAATATTTCATTAATCAACCCCAAATTTTGTTACGCACCAGACGCTAGCATGAACGACAAGCTTGTTAACATTTTCTTGCGACAAGAAGTTCTAAATGAACAGTGCAAAATGATTGCACAACTATCAAGAGGTACCGCTCGTATAGCCAATTATAGTTTTGAATTTCACTACACAACGCTTATCTTGATAAACTCTACAATGATTTGTGGAGTCAGTGCATTCATGAATTCTTATCCGAAGACTACGGTCGTTTTAAAAAATATGACCAAACCAATCAGGAGGAAAACGAAACAATTTATTTTGTTTGGTTACACTTTGGAGAATATAACATATTTATTGCGATGGCTACAGAAATATAATTACGATAATACAGGTAATTTTTTTATAATCTGTCAATCCAGTCAGATTGAAGAATGTGATGAAACAGAGGCCGTCAAAATTCTTTGGACTCATAAAATTGTGAACGTAATTTTCATCAACTTAACAAACAATGGAACTGGATATTCTTACGACATTGATTCATTTTGTGAAAACGGACCACCATTAAAGGTAAAAAATTGGGACGATTGTCTTAAATACGGTATAAACTGTACTAGCCAGTTTCCTTTAAAGCTTAAAAACTTTTATGGTTGTCCGATCATAGTTTCAACTTTTTCCCAATGCCCATACATGGATTTAACTGATGGAGTACCGTCGGGAGCTGATGGGGACCTGCTGCTTATTTTGGCAAAATATTTAAATGCAAGTCTCATAATAAGAACCCCGTGGAAAGGCGATGGCTGGGGCAATCGTGATAATAATGGAAATTGGGTTGGATCCCTTGGCGATCTATATCATAATTTGGCAAATTTCTCAATGACCTCCGCAAGCATTACTGATTCGCGAAGTGACGATTTCCAAATGTCCAAATTTTACCGTAACCTCAAATTGGTATGGGTAACTCATCCTAAAATAAAAGAGGCTCCAACTTATAAATTAATGCGGCCCTTTAGACCACGTTCAAGAACAGCTCTATTAATATCTTTCATAATATTCATTTTAGTTTTCGTGTTTTGTAAAACTAAAATATTTAAAATTATGTTTAAAAAGGTGAAAATTTTAAGCGTACCGAAGAAAAGTCTTTTTTATTATTTCCAAATTTGTATCGGTCAACCTGTGGCTGTCAAGACCAAGAAAACGCGAATTTTGTCATTCTTATTAATTTGGATATTCTACTGTTTCCTTATTAGAACATTTTATCAGGTGCATCTGATAAATTCTCTGAAAACCGATGTTTATTTGTCCGATTTTGTTTCTATACATGACGCAATACGAGACAAATATAATTTTGGTGGAGGTCTGGCTCTAAAAGATTATTACATTGACGAGCAAGCTATTTATAATAATTGGGAAGGTGTAAATAGTAGTGATTATTACGAAATAATGAATAATTTGACAGAAGGTAGAAAATTTGTTTTAGCAATGAATCTGGCAACAGCAAAATATTATCTTAAACAGCCAGGCAAAAAACTGCATGTCTTGCCACAAAAAATTGTCACCTCACCTTCTGCAATATTCTTTAATAAATTCTCACCTTTAGTTCGTCCTATAAATAAAATATTGGATCGTTTAGTCGAATGTGGCATTTTGGATATGCTGTTTAAAAATGCTACTTTATCAAGATATGTTTATAAACCAGTTAAAAACGATATTGTCATAAAACTTGAGGACTGCGCAGGTTGTTTTGTTGTATTAGTAGTGGGTTATATTGTGTCGTTCGCGGTTCTAATACTAGAAATAATTATTAAGAAAAATTACAACGAACACAGAACATTTCGTAGATTAATGATCTTTAGATAATTATTGAATATTACGAGTGGGTAAAATTATAATTATTTATTTATTATATGTTACGTTTAAAACTAATAAAGTAGTAGGTGCTTAAAAGATTTGTGACTGTTGTATAACCACTTTTTGAACTTTGACTTCACTATTATTTTTGTTCTCAGCTATTAAAAGGTTTCACTTTGTTAATAAAAATATACTTAGATTTACTTTTAGGTTCCAATTTTTAGTATGAATTGGAAAATATTTTAGTCACTTTGAAATCGAAATGTAGAAACGTGAATAGTTAAGTTAATAGTACATAAGTAAATAACACCTATTAAATAGTTTAACAAATATATATATAGGTATATAACAAACTATGAGTTACTTGACAATTTTCTTTACGCATATGGTATTTAATTCCAATACCATTTATGTCAATTCGACAAGTGTCACGTTCATTGTCTCAATAAGTGATAATTTAAAGAAACACATTAACAGTCTGTTCCGATTCACCATATTTTCAGCGTTATATTTTTAATGTAAACAAATATGTTTTAATAATTTATAATTTACTTAATAATATAATAGATAAGTATGAATGCATAATTTATAAAGGTTTAGACTAGACTTAGACGCATTTTTAGTCAAATATAAGAATATGCACATATTTTGGCCAATTATTTTCATAAGTTCTGTAATAATAAAGTTTTATTAAAATCCTATCAGTAGTCTACTTTAATATTTACTAACTCTGCTGTTAACTCTGCCGTTGTATACATTACAAGGTCAGTAAAATTTTAGTGTTAAGTCTTGTTGTAAATATATATGTATTAAATAAAAAATATATATTTTTGTCTCTTATCATGATTTATTAAGCATAATAAAAAGCCCCAGCACACAATGCTGTTCCGAGGGATATGATACAAATATTCTTTATAAACAACAATCTGAAAAAAGAAATATCAGAATTTATCGAGATAATAGACGATAAAATGTTAAGAAATTAAAGTATGAAAAATAATCTTATTATATTTATTTTCCTATGTACGCAACTATTTTATATACATATTTACATATATTTCTTCTGATCTAAATCCATTGCGAAGTTAATTCATTAATATTATCAATTTTATAAGACATCTTTAACAGACGGGTTTGACAGTTGTTTAAATTTATTTCGAAGTAAAACAGGCGGTTAGACTTGTTTTGGTGCTAACAACACAACTTGTTTAATGTTTTATAAATGTATGTCACTTCACCAAGAAAGAAAATAGTTTTATTCTCATCATGCAATAATAATCCCTACTAATATTATAAATGGGAAAGTAACTCTGTCTGTCTGTCTGTCAAGCTTTCACGCCTAAACCACTGAACTAATTTTAATGAAATTTAGTGCAGAGATAGAGTTGACCTTGAGAAAGAACATAGGATAGTTTTTATCCCAGACTTTTGGAAGGTTCTTTTGGAAATTCGATACAACCGAACTCCACGCGGACGAAGCTGCGGGCGGAAATCTAATATAATCATTTTATGTAAAATTAATCTTTGCATACCTAAACTTTCTTCGTTTCGGTTCCCTCCACATAACCAAAATTTCGATAAACGCAGGGAATATAAACAACAGAAACGCTGTGAACACATTGCCAATCTGAAATAATGGTCAGTTTTATTCAATATTCTACATTATCCTGTTAAAATGATGTGGTCTTACAAACGTCATCCAAGTCATCATATCTGGTAATGCAACACAAAAACCCGATAGTACCAATACGTGTATACAGCGATACATGCGCTCCCAAATGCCCTTTTTCCTGTTAAAAATATTAAAATTAAGTTAATAAGAAGTAATTTTGGACAAAGAATGAAAGAGTTTGAAATAACGCAACTAATATATGCAAAATTTATTGGTACTGAGCTGTTTAATTTAATATTAACCTATTTAATAATTCTTTATATAGACATTAAATCAATTATGTATTGAAAATTTGAGTATGATAGTGTCACAAAAAAAAAACTGAGAAAGAAATTGTGATCAGAAAATATTCATATAAATAAAATTACTAACGACTTGTGACTCCTACTAAGATTACGCCATATAATTCTAAACGGGATCCAAAAATGTACAGCAAAAGTCACAGCTAACGATATTGCTAGAAAACTTTGCATTAAATTAGATGATCTGAAATAAAATATTATACATATTATGTTTTGGCAAAAATATATGCACATCAGAAGATTAGAATGGAAAATAAAATCTATAAATATTATTAAATTTTGTCTTTGTTTAGTCTATCATTTTAGTTATTTTATGATGATCAAAATTATTGGTTCAAAAAATTGGGCTCACGTATTCGAAGGCATGTGTATTGTAAATGGAGACTTGCATTTTTCGCCCCACGCCCAGTAACCGAAGAAGCCTATCGCAGCGTTAAATGATATAACAATAGGCATCGCTGGAAAATATATAGAATACCCAATAAGATTAGGTCAATAATCTTAGTTATAACGATAATTCTGCTTACTAATCCTATTTCTTACATATGAAAAGGCTGTGTAACGAAAGTTATAGCTAAAGTTTATTACCATCCATTGAATATGGTTAAATTCAAAGTCTCTTATTTAAGTTATTTGTGAATACTATTAACTAAAGCCCTTTTGTATTTAAAATATGTATATAATCTGTCGCTATACGAACAAAACTCTCACCCCATAGCAATACAGTTTTAAAGTACTTAGGTTTTCTCATATTATTCTCTACTGGTAGCGTTACACCGATTCCATTGATGCTGAATATACAAATTCCCATCAAACGAAAGAAGCCTTGTACATCGTTCCAAGCGGGAAGATCGCTTAAACTAGCTGCGGCAGATATGCTATAGTACACAGTTGCTATCACACAAATCCCTGAAAGTCAATTGTTGGTGTGAAATTTCATTGTACTTTGATGAGTAACTACAATGAATACATTTTGTATGGATGAAGTTAAGTATAACTTTCAACAATGAACAATTAAAAAGTTATATATCAGAAAATAAATCATGTTTACTATTTTATAATTGAATAATTGATTTTCAGTACAAATTAATAATAATTATGTTATTAACTCGTAGTGGGAAGAATTTTTCAAATACTTGAATGAAGATGAAAATAAATGATTATTATAGAAAGCGCCATCTATGACTAATCTGCAAAACTACTCTAAACTAAGCGGATTTTGGCATAACATATTTTGTAGGTGCAGTATTCTAGAGTTGGCTACAATCCTTTAATCTAGCATAAATATTCCTATTTTTAGCCTCATATAGGATTGAACTGGATAAAATAAAGCAAAAGTATAATTTTTCTATACATCAGAAATTATTTCTTATAAATTACATTACCATTTCTTGAGAACATTTTGGGAAGAGAGAAAAATCTAGATAAAATATCGATGGAAAAACGTCATATTGTACAGATGATATTTAAAAACTTTAAATGTCAGATTGCCGATGTCAACATTTTGGCATTTCATTGTAACTATTATAAAAAATATTTAATTCTTAATTATAGCTGATTGTAGGTATTTTGTTTATATCAAATTCTAATATATTACTACACAGTTTTCAATTTTATAATACAACAAATAAAAACTTTGACATTTGGCATTCCAGTGCGTTTGAAGCGTTAGTATTAAAAAAAATAATTATATTTTGTCTACAGGAAAATTGGCGCCTTTTAATATTAGAAAATGTATTTTTAACTCACCAATAAACAAATCAGCGACAAGGGAGAATGGAGCTAGATATTTCAAACTTCTTATCATACATATTAATACTAACGGTAAAGTTATCATTAAAATATATTGACTTATTGAAAATTCCGAACTTGACACGGATTCTAAAACCTGAAAGAAATTTTGTTATCATTAAAACTTTATTTTAACCTTGTTTAAAACAGTGTCATTTCCATTTATAATATCTAAACGAATAATAATAATTATTAATTAAATTTAAGCAAATAACAGAAGTAGAGCAAGACTTAGTGTTAATTGAAAATTATAACCTTTTTCAGTGTTTGCGCTATCATAATTTCAAATATACAACATGTTCCATTAAAATGTAAAAATAAAAATATGTTAACAGAGTACCTGGAAAAAATAAATTCATGTTTATTTTTAAAAAGTTTCACTTTAAAATATTAATAATTATTCAACAGTTTTTTTGTTACTAAAATTAAATTAAATTGTAACTAAATTTGAATTAAATTATTATTGATTATTTAAGGGTGTCAACATTATGAGACGGTCCAAGACTTCATCATGTTTTGATATCAATGAATTTCATTGTTTTTATTAAAATTAATTCTTTAGTATCAACTGTAGAAGTATATAAATTCTATACGTTTGTGTCAAATTATTCTTAAGACAGCAATAGGGATATTTGTTTACGTTCTTAATGTTCTTGTAATAAAATAATGCTATCATCCAATTTGATCCTGTCTTTCATAATGAAGTTTTACAAAAAGTACTACATATAAGGTACTACCGAAAGTAATTAGGTATTACCGAAATATCTTGCTTGCTCGTCTAGATATTTTGAAAGGTCCGGTAGCGAGTGCCACTTCAGCTAAATCTGGATAAGAAAGCCTAGGAACACGGAGTCTACCATACATAGTTTGAGCTGAACTAACCAACATCTGAAAAGAATATTATTAATATTGTTACAAGTGGCTCCATCTGTGCTATATTAATTATAATATCCTCTTAGATTTGTAATGACTAATTATAGTTCATTATAATACTGAAATATTGCCATTTTTATAGCGACATTTAAGTATCAATTTGTATTTGAAAACTATAAATACTTGCTTCAGCCATTTTGTAGGACATTACTGGAAGTAACCCTTAACATTGAAAGTAAAGTCTGAAAGTGTACTTGGAACAATATATTGTGTGACAAGGGTCTGTGTTTCATACTTCGCGTATATTTGTGGACAATACATGAAGATACGAGTACATTTCTAATAAAATGATCATACAATTAAATACTCAAAAATATATCAAAATTAATAATAGTTTTAAAATCGAATACGACAGTTATTTTCGCCAAATAATACATGTCGTTAAAAAAATAATTTCTATTTATAAGTTCGAAACTGCTAATAAAATTTAAGAGGGATATTTATCTATTAACTAGCTGACCCGGCAGACTTCGTACTGTCTCAATCAAGAGATTAATTATGTCTTATTTATTTTTTTGGTGTTTACCTTTAAGCCATAAATCTCCGTGTTCTGAAGTGCGACAAAATGATTGACATATTAGTTAGTTGTCAAATCTAATGTCAAAAAATAAAAAAGCACTGTTTTTAGGGTTTTCCCGGAAATTAATAAAAAAAATCCATGAACATTTCAAGACTATAATAAGATAAATCCGTTCAGTCATTCTCGAGTTTTAGTGAGACCAAGGAACAGCAATTCATTTTTATATATATAGATTACAAATACTTGTTTTCAATGATACTTTTACATTAATATATTTTTATATACGTATTATACAGACTTACAATCATACAATATGTGATAACATAACCAATAATCAGTGTAACAGCGAGAGACGTCCATAGTCCTCCGTACTTAAAGGCTTCATGCATGCCAAGCAAACCTGCTCCTAAACAGCCTTTTATAAGATGAGCAATAGACTCTATTAAACTGAAACAATGCCAAAAAATTTAAACAAACTCTGCAAGAAAGTATTAATATTCTGTAGCTGATACAAAATAATTTCGTGTTTAAGTTTTATATTTATAATATAGATTTATGACTTCAAATACGTTTAAAACGGGTTACAAAAATAATGTTATATATTTCAATGAGTAAATAATAAACGCCTTCATTATACAACGATCGCCATTTTGAGGAATTTGAAATATACTTACTAATATTGATGTTTAAATTTGGATATATATATACATACTTAGTTGAGTAAATGTTTTGTCTTTCGGCGGTGAAGTCATAGTTTATCATCTCAGCCCCTGGATATAGCTCATGGTAGGTCCTGCTCTCACTTCTATCGAAGTATTCTGTGAGCTCTAATTCCAAGTTACATAAAGATCTCAAGTCATCTTCCTGAAAATATTGCAGTTTGTTGCATAAAAGTACCACATAACTTAAAACTAATGTTTGATAATATTATTTTGTGTACGTAATTTGTACGCGACTTGTAATTTGTAATATTTTTAGTATTCCGTGAAATGTTTCTATTATATAATGAGATCTAAAATTTTCGCGAGTCTTATTCATTTAAATGAAACTAATTTTTTCGGATGTACGAGAACATCTCATCTGCCGTGATCACGGTTGCTGTAAAGTATCCAAACGTCGGGAGTATGTAGTCTATAATCGAAAATAAAGTCGCGTAGTACATCCGAAAATATTAGTTTCATTTAAATGTTTCTATTATAGCCGAAATACTTATTATATATGTAAAAGAAAAGCTAAAATTTGAAAATATATACATATGTATTATGTTAATAGTTTAGTATAGATGTACAAATCTAATTTGTTGCAACTGTGAAATCTGCATTCGTTTAACGACCGTGAAAGCTAAAAAGCCCTGAAAAATCCTTTTCTAATTACCATTCCAATTTCTTTTTAATTCTAAAATCACAGAGCCTTTTGAAAACGTTCACGTTAATGTAACGCTTTCTAAAGTCGACAGAAATCACTTTCATTTACCTGTTTCCTTACGGTAACACTGAATAAGAATATATATTTTGTTATATTTACACAAAATAAAAAAAATAATCATTCAGAAAAACTGACAACAAAAAGTATACAATTTATTGTGAAATAATTTATGTTATAAAGAAAAAAATACATATTAAAAATATATATTTACAAATACGTACAGACTCGTTTGTTGGTGTTTTCCTTTTATTATCCTGAAAAGAAAATCTTTTATGTACATTATTAATAATCTATTTTCATCGACAACCTTTTAAATTCTCTTCAAAGGCCATTTAAGTTATTTAATATAAGTGACTAAACATTCTAATACTTCAAATGATAAAACGATCCTGAATGAACTCACCTCTTCTGTAGAAGACATAATTAATACTAGGAAATCATTAAATCGAGTGGGCGATGAAACATTGTATATTGAACTAGTTAAACAATACTTATACCCTAACTCCGCATAATGACACAATTTTAAACATAATAAACACTTTTATATAAATATAAATAATGTTTAGGAAAATTGACAGTTACGTATGTATCAGATGTTGTCAAAAAATGTTTTAAAAAGTCCTTACGGCAAACCTTTTAATATAACTATAATTCGTCCAACAAATAATAATGTTGACATTTACAAAATATTCCACTATTCCAGTGCGAATGAGTCATAGAAAAAAATATTGTTGCTTATCATAGTGGTTATTTTGAATAATCAAATAAAATAGTGTTTTAACGAAGATTGAAAATGCTTTACAATTTTTTTGTGAGCTACTTTTTTATTTGCTTGTAAATACGTCAACCCCAGGATTTCAGTTAACTAGCAAGTTCAAACCGCTTTTTATTTTCTAGCTTCGGGTAGTCTGCTTTTGGTCAGATTTTTAAATAGAAATAGGAAATCATCCAAAGTTTTTGACGTACTTATAATAGATTTTATCTTAAATTTTCATTTAAATAAAAAATATCTTTGTTACGTTTTATATACCTACTACGAAATAACTCACAAAATATAGTCTACTTTGTCATACTATTTTTTGTTAATTTTTATTTTCGAACTCACTACTTTTTAAACAGCAGGAACAAAACTTTAAAAGCCTCTTTAAAATGTAACCTTTTATAACGTAGGTAAGCCTCAAAAAATAGACAGACAAAAATTTCTAGAATCTTATTGTTTTTATAAGCATCACTTAAATGTCAAAAAACATGGCCAAGAGGCATTTTATATTGACATTTCAAATATACATTAAAATTTTATTCATATTGAAGTTGAAAATGTCCGGAAAGTAAAAAAAAATATACAGATAATCAAGGCTTTATTCAGCAACGTTTGCATTTAATTTCTTCGGAGACCAATTTTTCGCCTTTAGTGCTCACAGCATTATCACACTCATTATCGTTACCACAGGAGTCTTCGCAGCCGGACTCGCAAGCATCTTTCTCTGGTTCTGGTTGATCACATTCATACTTCACTTCGCATTGAACTTTGCATGTAACAACTTTCTTTCCATTGTATTTGTTACTGCATTTATCTTGGCAATCGTCTTTAGCGTCGCATCGTAGGCTGTTAGAGATACGAAGCAGTTTCTTCACAATCGGTGATCTTAGGATTTGTTTGTCAGTTCTTTGAACATCATCTTCATCCACTCTATTCCTTTCAGCTCTATGCCTCATTCTGTTTTTCTGACCCCTTTGTTGTAACAAATTTAAGTAACTCGGTGTGCTTAGTCTAACGCTCCCTTCATAATTCAACTGGAAATTAAGATGGAATATTATAAAATTTTATTACTGTTATTGATGAAAAAATTTGTTATTTTGATTGAAAAAATGTGAATAAAACTTTAGATAGGGTAATTTTCTTAATCAAATGTTGCTTAGTGTAGAATTTTGTTGCTAGTATTCTGTTTACCTTTTCGTGTAATACGTGTGGAATGTTTATGGAGTTGTGTTCTTCACTGGATGTCATTAAAGCCGGTTTATTTTTCTTCGTCAGTCCTGGTTCCTTTTCTAATATGATGATTACAGGTTTCTTGTTACCAACGATGTTGCGGTTCAATAGAGACAGAATACTGGATACATCGCGATTTGTTATTTGTGTGGAATCTATTTGTTGAAACTTGTAACAGAACAAAATAATTACACAATATAAAAATGGAGAATCTATGTGATTAAAATTTAATTAATTTGTTATCTAAAACTATAAATATATCTAGACCAAATTCCTATAAGCAAATTCCTCTAGTATGGGTATTGTATGATCTACAATAAAAATATATATGTTAAAGTTTAGCAATTCTTTTTTGCCGATTACTAGCAATGATTTTTTTATTAACTAAAATTTCAATGTTAATGAGTAGAATAACAATATCTTTATCGTTAACTGCAACACTAAGAACAAACCAAGAGAAATACAAATAATAATATATGAAAAGTAACATTAAAATATTTTATTTATTGTAAAATTAGGAACATTGTGAAAAAAACTGTCATCTTTTTAAAATTATTAATTGTTGTTATAATATGGATTTTAACAGAAATATTCTGAAAACTCAGTTAATTAATTAGATTAACCAAAATTATTAAGATAATTTAGAAGTCTTAATAAAACAGGTAAGATAATTATTTACTTACCAAACTCAATAAACAAATAAAAGCAGCGGTCGCAAATATTTTAGTTGACGCCATGATGCTGTTGGTTCGGCGTTTTTCTCCAAATTATTTGTTTCTGAGATCTCGTAAACAGTTTGAGTTTCCGCTTCGATAAATTTAATCAATTTGAAATCATTCTATGATTAAGATGTTTTATGTTCATCGAGTGATTAAATTATCGCCTTACTCCTTAATGAAATTCAAGTTATTTTTGATATAGTATATTATTATGGTTGAAATTTTGATTATACATAGTATAATAAGAAAGTAAACACCAACAAAAAAATATATATGTTGTACGTAATACATTATAGTTACGTGTATATATTTCATGACTGTAATATTATATCTTACGTCATTTCTTGCTTTATACGCATACTTAAGGTATGAGCAAAGAATTTCCTCTCAAACGTAATATAATACTAGGTTCCGATAATATAGATTTTCTGTAATATTTTGAGAGAAATTCTTGTGTTAAGGTATGCCTTTGAGTGCCTTAAAATATTTTATCGATGTCTTCTCTAGATTCTAGTACTTTTACGGTACGACGATTAGATTGAATTGAACGCAGGAATAAGATAGAATTCCGGAGACATTTTGACCTATATATTGCTTTTCTTCATGTTTAGAATTTCTAGGAAGTGAAAATATTATAGAAATATATATAGAGTAAGTAACTCCAAAAGATAAATGTGAGATAAAAATAAAGAGACAATTATTAAATGTTATCCAATATGTACAGGTTTAATAAAATACCTTTTAATATATTCTTATTAGAAAATAAATACATATAAAAGACTATAACAAATTATGTATCGAGAAGCAAAAAAAAAACATGCCAAACTGATATTTCTTGATATTTCTTCGTGATTTTTACTTTTCTTTACTTGAGGATTATAGATTTAGAAAAAAAATAATTGTTCTGATAGAGGAACTAATTCTTTTGATGTATGCAGGGTTATATAAAGATTGTAATCTAAAATGAATGAAAGATTTTTATTAAATAGATTTATAACACAAAAGTCATTAAAAATAAAAAGGAGGTAGTTCATAAAAAGTGGGGTCAGGGTAATCTTCAGCAATATGTCTATTCTTAAATAAAATAAAATATACATACATAATATTCCCTATATAAAATAAATTCATAACATATACTAAATGGCATACAAGATGGATTTCGTACTTTTTGTATCCGTTCGAGCAAATTAAGTAATTGAAAACTCAGAAAGATCTTAATACAACTAAAGTATGTATATTGTGAAAATACTATGATGGGTATATAAGTGCAGATATAGATCATTTGTACTGTCATCACTGTTTTTGTAAATATCGAAGGACTATATTTTAGTATTGCATAGAACATATTGTGAAATTTTGTTCGTATAAGACATTCTGCACTGTAGTAGAAGCCGCCTAAATTGTTTAAGTATCCTTATTTCAATCCAAAATTAATACATTAGGCCTAAAGATTGACTGCAGCTACAACTTTAATGTTATCTCAAACTCTGTAATCCAGATTAGGCATATAATTACAGTAAGGTAAGAACCAAAAAGGGTATCTCTTGTTGGCCATATAGTACATAAGGCTTAGTGTACAACATACTAAAAAATTGGGTAAGCCTGACAAATTATTTACAAAAATTGCAATTAAATTGATTTTTATATATTTCTATTGTTTTTATTGTCACCTGGAATGTTCCAGGTATCCCATATAATTCCATTCAATTTCCCATTCCGCTCTCACAATTTCTGTATTCGCGGCATATCTACGGAACGTATCCCCCGCGAATAAAGAGCTTTTACTGTAATATCGTTTGGAAATAAAAAAAATAAATCACTTGAATATAAAGACGGAGATATTTTTGACAAATTACGACTTTTACCACGGTAATGGCAAAATTTATTGAATTTTACAATCATTATTGCTAATACAATAATAAGATAATCTAAATTATTATATTAAAAATCACAGAGTCTTCAATTATAACAAATTGTATTCAATTAGGTATATCAAATAATCATAACAGCAAATAAAAATAATTAATCAGAAAAAAAGAAAATAAGTTACCATCACAATAATAATGTGTTTTTGAAAATTATTTTTGTAGAGTTTTTAATCTCTACTTCCCTACTAATATTATAAATGCGAAAGTAACTCTGTCTGTTCAATTTCACGCCTAAACCACTAAACTGATTTTAACGAAATTTGGCACAGAGATAGAATGGACCTTGGGAAAGAACATAGGATAGTTTTTATCCCAGACTTTTGAAAGATTCTCTTGGAAACGCGATATTACCGAACTCCACGCGGGCAAAGCTGCGGGCAGAAAGCTAGTAGTATAAATAAATGGAAAAATATGTATAACCCTATAATTTAATCCGTGCCGGTAAAAATATGTTTGTAAATTTTTTCATGATATTACAATCATGTACAGAATAAAAAGCTATGTAAACCAAAATAGTTATCACTAAAATATAACAATAATTTTTTATACAAAAAATTTAAAACTGTATTTTATATTCATACGAAATATCTCATCCTTACTTTAATGATTAGGTATTTATTTCTACATTATATTTATAATGGAACTGTATAAGAATATTTTTTTGCTCCAAGTACTTAATATTAATTTTAAGATGTAAAATATTCAAGACAAGTTCTTGATGAATTATCGTCTATGTGGCGTTCTTTATGAAAAATTACTGCTAACTAATTAGTTATTTCAATTAAAGTTTTTTACTTTATAGTTTTAATATAGTAATAATAGGTTTATAGCTGAAATGGCAGAGCAGTTGTAAAAATACTGCAATTAAAATAATGAATACCTACTCAAAATAATATTTTATTAGCATTTATCAAATAATTTATGACAAGATCGAAATATTACATGTTGTGGAAAGCGTACACGTAAAATTTAATAAATATTTTGACATCTCAAACTAGACTAGGATATTGTTTTCACTCACTCACATCACTCAAAAGAATTTATTCATTGGATTGTTAACTCAATTGTTTTATAATATTAAATAGAAAATCTAATAAAGTTTTAAGAAACGTAATAATGAAGAATGTTTCACTGCGAGTAATTTATGAAATACTTTATATATTTTAGGCGTATGTACGTATATATAAGTAAAGAAGTATCTAATTATTAGAAGGAAAAACTAATGCATCGTATGTATTCATTATTTATTTATCGTCATTTATATTACGCAGTAGCCAGGATGGAGGTTTTGTTACACCGCATCTTGGTTTCTTGCATACTTTCTTGGGTCTGTTACAGACGTCATAATCATCAAATTCTTCTTGACATGATAGTTTGCAAGTATAAGTCTTCTTTTTAGGACATCTTTTGACGCACGTATTTAAATTGTTACATCTAACGCGTAAAGCCTCACGAAGAATGTTTTCTGTTTTTTCTAATTTTTCCAACGCTTCAGAATCCATGCCTTCAGTTTCTTGAGTGGTCTGAAATGATATAAAGTTATAATTTATTTCATAATAAGCATAGTTCAAAAGTTCCACATATATGTGCATACATATGGAGATTGATTTATTTTATTTTTACCTGTCTTGGTTATACACGTAAAATGTTTTTAACGTGTCAATTAAATGTATTTAATGAAAAATATTTCGGAAAAATTATACTGCTTTTTTTGGAAAAAGATGGGTTGAATATTAAACTTAAACAGATAACTATGTATATCTTATATTATTTTTCCTGGTCTAAGCACCAGTTCACACTTCCAGTGATGCTGTCAGAGAAGCAAGGCTAACAGAAATACTCGTTACCAAAAAAAATCAATAATATATATTACCCTTAGTATATGGTAAAGCAGATAAGCTCTTCTATCATGAGGTGGTTCCAGAGGCTGTACTTTGGGAGTCAGGTCGTTGGACCCGGCTATGGGTAGCTTGTTATCATGGTCATGATCATAAACAATTGAAACTACTGGTGTCTTTGTTTTCGTTAGTTCATCCAATAAACTGTTACGATCGTCAGCCAATAAATTCTGGAAAATTGATACGAACTGAGAATATTTATTATATATTATATTAGTCATGATTATTTTTAAGTTGAATCGATATAGATATTTTTATATATGAATAATAAATCCCTGGAAACTAAAGCAAATAAATAATTGACATACCAAATAAACTATATATTAATTTTATTATCAAATAAATATATTATATTAAGTAAAAAAACTTACTTCAACACACCAAAATAAAAGAAAGAAATTTAAGCCAACACGTCTTTTCGACATGTCGATTACTGAAATCTGTTAAATCATAACGTTCTCTTGCTCCACAAACATTACGCTTGACGTAATTTAATTAAAGGAAAAACATTCGTTATAATTAATTGAGGGTCGGACATTTTGAGAAATTATGAGACATCATTACTGACTACAGTCTTTTGGTGATTTGTTTTAATTTACGTTGAATATTGTTTTTTTTTGTAGTTTTTATATAAATGTGCAGATTTTTATTTTAAATATAAAATAATGGATTCTGATAACAGAATGAGTGTTTGTACACTTTTCTTTTTGATAATATTGATTTATTATCGTAATGTGAATTTGGAAGATGAACTTCTTTCTTATTCAATAAAAACATAAACAGAATTTACACGGGGCTTATTAGGAAAATCTGGCAAAATGTCACTCCAGTACATATAGTATATATATTTATATATACCCAATCTAGCCATAAATATTGTAATAAATAAAATTTATCAAAAGTATACTACCTACTTAAGATTACTACGCGTTATTTTACTATATGCTCCCGACGTTTCGGTCACTTGTAACCGTGATCACTAGCAGACAAGATGTGAAGTTTTATTTAAATGAATACTCGTGAAGATCTTAGATCTCATTATATTTTTGAATATTGAGTCTATTGGTTTTATAATAATGTTTTGTAAAATGATTTTTGATATTTAAATAAAATCCAGGGAGATTGAAATCATCGTGATTGCATTGCATAAAAGAGGTATAGAAACAAAATATGAATAATTTTTGATTTTGAATACGATTTCTGTTACTCAAATGTGTATATATGTATATAATAGGTACAATGAAAGCTCTTTTCTATTTGTGGCAGAAAAAGATTTGACCGGACACGTAGTGGCCGTATATACGAAAAGACGACAATAAATTCTTATCACGAAGTTCGAAAGATGTCGCAGAACTTGTAGCCTATAAGGGAGGCGCTGGTTATTTCTTAAGCGACAATTTAAAAAAGAACAGCATGAAGTGGCTAAATCAAAATGATTATTCAAAAGAAAGGAGACTATTTTAAAAAATGAATACTAAGTTACGTTGTTTACGTTGAAAGCTCTAAAAAACGTTCCTAATTAGTTAACAAACATTACAAAGTGGAAATTAACAGTCTTCAGTGAAAGAGAGTCTGAGACGTACGTATTCTTGTGAAAAAGGTATGAAAACGATATCTGAGACGAAACCTCTCAGCATTCAATGAATTCGTTCTGGGGCCGGGTCCATCGCATTCCAGGGAGAGCAGCTTTAACAGTACCTCGAACTGGCGACCCAGGTGTAGGTTTTAAAGGCCCCTATCTAACGCGCGATAAACGCTTACCATCACCGTCCGAGCTGCTCTCTCTACTTAAGCAAATTTGAAACGTATCTACTAGGGCAAACTAAACTTCTCTAGATAGTCATCAGCCTATCAGAGCCCACTGCTGAGCAAAGGCCTCTTTCTCACATGGAGAAGGTTTGAGCATTAATCACCACGCTTGCTCAAGACGGGTTGGTGATTTCAAACTTATAATTGTGAAACTATAAGTCCATGTCAGTGGTGTCTAAATACTCTCAGAAAGTACATATGACTCCGAGAAATCACATTGGTACTTGCCAGGTTTGAACCCGCGCCCTCGGCAACGAGAGGCGGGCCTTTTAACCACTAGGCCACCACTGACTCTTCTTTTTCTCTAGATAGAAACAAGTTTATTAAGATATCATTCTTGAGAAAATATTTCAGCATTTTATCCATTCAACCACTAGGATCGGTCTTTTAACGAAACTCAACGTCAGGTTGTAAGGCTCGATCCATTAAATTTTTGGGGACAAACGAGCTTTTTGGACTTCGTCGGAACTAAAAATTGGCCTTTATCTAGTTTTTATCATTGTTTTATGATTGATTTTTAATTTCAGATGTTATGGATAGTTTTAAATTCCACTAGAATTTGGAGTCCATGAAACAATCCATCGGATTGACAGTGAGGGATTATCCACTTAAAAAATAGTGTTGTTATTGATATCACACTTTTCTTGTTATATTTATTACAAAACTAAGAATGTACGCAAACACAATTTTTTCACATATATTTAGTATGCATGAAAAGTATGAAAGTGCATTAAGGATCTAATAATAACTAATTAATGGTAGTATGAACTAATGAAATGCATTGTCGGTTCATGGGCTTTTTCTGTTTTCTTTTTAATTGTTTAACTTTTCAAGAGTTTAAAAATATATTACATACTAGAAGACCTGGCGAACTTCGTATCGCCTTTAATCAAGAAATATCTGTTACGTTTCTTTATTTATATTTTTGGAGTTTACCTGTAAGCCATAAATCTCCGTGTTTTGAAGTGCGACAGAATGATTGACATATTAGTTAGTTGTCAAATCTAATATCAAAAAAACGTTTGTATGGGAAATAAAAAAGGGCTGTTTTTATGGTTTTCCCAGTAATGAATCAATTTTTTTCAGCTTTTATACCTTCCCTGAACCTCCACGAACATTTCAAGACTAAGATAAGATAAATCCGTTCAGCTGTTCTCGAGTTTTAGCGAGACTAAGGAACAGCAATCCATTTTTATATATATAGAAGATATAGAAGATTAGACATTTCTGATATTTCAAAGTTTTTTTTTAAGAAATTAATTAATTCACTCAGTTTTTTTGGATTCTTTACGGCGTTATGATAAGCACAAATTTTGCCCGTAATTTATTATTTAGTACAAAGTAATTTGCATGGAAATATGTCGTGTCACTAAATCTATTAATAGCATCCAAGGGAATAAGTACATAAAGTACTTTGAGTAGTAGAAGGAATATTACAGATCGATAATGAAATATTTAGTTTAACTATGCAATTTATATTTTAAATCGATATTAAAGTATACTTCTTCAATATCTGTTAATAATTTCAGACAAAGGAATATAAAACTATGCAATAAAAATACTATGTTCCTTAAAATACACGAAGCAGAAATTGCATAAAAGATGGCAGCGTATAACTGCATATTTTACGACTAAAGTCCGCAACTCAGTGGTTAGTAATAATAAATAATTTCACTCAACACTGTTTTGAGTTTCTATTTTAAGGTGCGGTTATGGAACAGTTAATAAATAAACCATCCTGCATAAGTGATATCAAATGTCTCAACTAAAGTCGACGTTACGTCTCTCATATCACGGAAATTAAAATTGTTTTGTGAGTAATTTATAGTATAGAAGTTAACTTGCAGACAGCTTTCTAAGTTGAGTTATTTTGATCGTTGTGTTTTCTAATAGATATATAAGTTGTTCATATTTAATAAGCTTAAAAAATCCATGGTCATCTGTTGATAATTAAATTGTCATTTTGTAAATTATATTTATACACTTAGGGTGCAATGATAAAGTAATAACAACATTTTAGAAATATTTTATTAAAAAAAATATATACAATTTGACGGACTTATAGAAATTTAAATACAATATATTTTCAAAAATACGACAACATTTCCTCGAAAATTAAGGGTAACCTTAATTTTTATTCCTCTTTGTTGAAACGACTTTCTTGTTACAAAGGCAACTTTTGAACATAAAGACAAAGCGTGAGCTAGAAAGCTTCCAATGCAAGTCTGTTAAGCTGTTATGATAAAATATTTACCCACCGAAATTGTTCGTGTACCTTTATTCGTACGTTTAAGTGCAATTCCGCTGTATGTGTGGATAGCCTCATATTTTACTGTTATACATATTTTAACGTAACTTGAGTTATATCATCTTTTACGTTGTCTGCACCCGGTCTTATGTTCATATTGTAGACATTCTAATACAGAAAAGATTTGTTTTGTGACTCTTTTATTACGGGATTTCAGAACTTTATACTTATTCATGTCTTTCGTTTTAAAATGTAATACGTGTTCAATTAAACCCAAGGTAAAAAAGTGTTTTAAGATATAAAGTTACGAATCAATATTAAATAATATGATTAATATATAGAGAAATGTAGAAAAATAAAGATATAATAGAAAATTATTGTTATTATTCTAACCTACAGAGGCCAGAGGTGAATGGTTTTCCGTGTCATTTTACATTATTTCTTGAAGCAAAGCTACTATGATTCCTTTGTGTCACTGCACCTTAATGTCTATTGTACAGTATAGAAATCAAACATTATATAATATTTATGTATAAACTAATAAATAAGTATAGACGTTACAATTCTGCACGATTTACTTAAATAAATGTTACTCTTAATAAATATACGAATAATTTAAATACAATTTCTTTTTGTAGCCCACACTTTCTTCTCACTTTAAAATTCAATAGGATAATTTGAACCTAAACTATATGTATAATACCCACAACTAATTCCTTAATAAGGTGTGCCTAAGATATGTAACTTCTCAGCATTCCAAGGATTCAACGTACGGGTGCCGGGTCCATCGTTGTGGGGAGAGGAGCTTCAACAGTGCCAAGGGCTTGCGATCATTGTGTAAGTTTAAGGGGCCCCTATTTACAAGTGTTAAATGCTCACTTCATCCGTCCAAGCTCATCTCTCTACATAAGCAAACTAGTAACGAAGCCACCAGCCTGCGAAGTAAGTATTTATAATAATTGTAGCAAAAATATTTAACATATTCGGAGTATCTCTATAATGCACTAACAAATTTTATCAAGCATATGAATAAATAAACATAACAATATATCTTACATTTTCATCGAAATTTTATCGTATTTATTTATTTAAATCAAAGGCGACAAACGAGCAGAAGGCTTACTAGATGGAAGGTAGTAACCGCCGCCTATGGACATCTACAAAATAGGCGAAATTGCAGCTATCCATGGAAACACAGCTATTAAAACTACTTTTCGCCGGTCTTCTGTGAGAGGGTGATATTTCCTCGGTCGAGCCAGTACATGTTTGAGCTGTAAGTGTATGACCACAGTTATGCTCTATCACCTTTAAAAAGGTAATGAACAGTGAAATTCTTGTACGTAATACATAATTTTCATTAATTACTAA